TTATGAATATAAAAAGTATTTAAATAAAACCAATTGCCCGTTTATTTCCCTAAACAATTTTTATTAAAACATAAAACCTGTGGAAAATGCTTTGTAAAATTCCAAGAATCTGTCCCAGCGATTTGAATCTGATTCACGTTAGTTTTATGGCGAATCACTAAATTTTACTGCGATTTGGAACAATTCTTTTTCTTAGAGTGGCAAGACGGAGTTGCTTCTTTCGCATTCTGCACATGCAAATTTATAACAATTTTACGTTCTCACATGCTCAAAGTCGTAAATCGTATTCGGCAAGGTGCGAACTGCTTTGCTCCACCATATTCCTTTCATTCCCTCCATTCGGCGCCAAAACCAAGTGGCTGTGCATAAAAAATCGTTTATGGCTTTGCAGCGCTCAAATAGAACAAAGCATAAATCCTAATTTACTTATGTGGAGCTGCTGCAGCAGTTGGCACTTTCTGGATGTTGGTGTGTGTGTGTCACCCAACGGTAAACATATATCAACAACATCTTAAACTCATGACGCCAAATAAATACAAATGTTGTAAAATGCAGGGGATGCCCCAGGATGCCGCAGGATGGGATAACATAGAACCCAGGCCAGACTCGTAAATCGCTCGGAAAAGAGGAAAAATCCCCTCCCCCGTTTCGCATTTCACAGCTAAAAAATAAAATAAGGAGGCAAAGCACCGTGTGAGCTTAGTGGCATCGCGATTGAATGGGACTCTGAATAAATTTCTCCTTAGCAAGTGGCTGTAAATTGTTTATATTTTACTCGAGTTTGCTGTATTAAAAGGGAATTTGATGGAATATGGGTTAGGAGGAGTGTTCGCTGTGTGTGAGCTCGTTTTGACTTGGCTTTTGATTTTGTGCGGGAGATTCCGATGGAGATATCAGAAATAACTTTACAAGTGGTTTTTACGATGTGTTGCGATTTTAGATTGACTTTAGAATATTATTTTATTATTTAATTGAACAATATTGAGAATATAAATAAATATAATGGCTGTTAAAATAAGTAATGCCAAGAATAATATTTAAAAATATATTAAAACCTTATCAACGACCTTACGAATTTCTTAGAGAGAATTTACAATTTTAAGGCTAAGGTTATTTATGTGCCTAAAAGTATGCAGTGAATAAAGAATTGTCATCATCCTGAATTACTTCATACCTCTTCTGAGTTTAAAATATATTGTTGCATACTTTTGGACATCAATTTATTTATTTATTTTATTTCGCATTTCTTTGGTAGAAATTATGGTCGAATTATTTTAAGTGACATATTTCAAAACTAAAAACATGTTCTGTTTCATAAAACCTTACATTTGACATAAATAAATTCATAATAAATTTACAGTTGCCCGAAAGACATTTACAAAGTGCAGCTGCTTCGGCAATAAATGCATTTCACAAATATTTCTAAAGTCTTCTTGGCCAATAAATCTGACCGAAAGTGAGCTTTACCTCTTGATCAAACTAATCAAGTTGAGTAGCCGCCATTGAAGTGGTTTTGTTTACTTGAAGTTCTCGCCCCAGAAATTGATATAATTGATGGCGAGCCATAACAGGCCACATTAGAAATGCCGGATTTTCCTTCATCTTCAACTGTGTTTTCTGTTCGCTGTCTGTGTGTCTGAGTCTGGGTCCTTCGTCCTTCATCCTTGTTTGCGTCTGTATTTGTCGTCCATCTGGCGAGAGGAGCTTGGCCAGCTTGACTTGTGCAATCCGAAATCTAACAGGAGAAAAAATACTAAAGCGTCAGCGGCATGTTAAGTAAACTTTATGACCGGAGAATTCCGCAAAAAGCGGTGGGGATGAGCTCCACCTCCTCGGGAAAATTGCGGGCCGCAAATAAAACCAGGACCAGAACAAGGATTCCCGGCTCTTTGGATCCCCGAACCCGAGTGAGGCATCAAAAAGTAAGAGCAAATGCAAAAGCAACAACTATAAAAACCTGCAGCGATAGTAAAATGCAAATTGGTTGGGGAGGTTTGTAGGATGGGTGGACCAAGGGGCAGCAGGACCTCTGGCAGGACTTCAGGACTCCCTTGGTCCGTCAACCGAGCGGCACAAAAAAAAAAGAGAATAGTAAGCTCTGGCATTCGCACTCGTAAAATAAAAGTAAAGTGCAACAGCAATTTGTTTGCACAATTGCTGAATGCGGCCATTGCTGTTGCTGCCGTAGATGTTGCTATTGTAGATGTTGCTGCTGTTGCTGTAGATGTTTGTGTTGCTGTTGGCACTCGTCGCATTGTTTGCTTTGTAGCCGGTTGTTGTACATTTTTATGACAGCTCAAATTGGCCCCCATCGCCACCCGCGAGCAACACTGTCAGCATATGGCAATAAATGGGCAACAGGAGTTGCTGCTCGGTCGTCATTCTCCACAAATGCCCAGACTATAGTCCGCTATATATGCATATATTTATATAGATATACCCCCCACTTTTTTGCCCACTTCGCGTCTGATTTGCGATGACAGAACAGCCGGCTGATTTGATGCCTTGTTGCAGAGCCCTTTTGATGGCCATTCCTATTCCCCACCATCTTTTTGCTCCATTTCATTTTCTATTTTGGCACTTTGAAATTAAAATATAAAACCCGCGCCGCTTTGACAACTTTTTAAGCTCCATTAGCGTTGACGGCAAGAAAGCCTATGAAGCGGCAACAAAAGGAGGCCGTGGAAAAATGGGAAAAAGGGTCAATGTAACCGCGAAAGCAGCCGTCGACGCGGCAGGACGTCCAGGACATCAGGACATCATCAATGGCAGAGCAACAGCAACAGAGCAACCCCTTTGGCCGGGGTAACCTTGCGGTTGTTTCCTTTCCCATTCTAGGGGTTTTCCCCTTTTCCTTTCCCCTCCCAGTCCCTGTAGCATTGCCAGGACCCAAACCAAACCCCCGATTGCGAAACCCATTTAAACACTATAAAGAATTTATTAAGTTTTGATTTCACTGCTTTATTTTAAATGCAATATATTTAGAGAATATTTCATAGATATTTGGTACTTATTTTTTAACTATTAAGGAATTTAGCATACTTCAAAATAGTTTAATGGTACATTTCATATGCAAGAGACAGCTCCTTTAATTATTCACAAATTTATTAAAAGGCAATCGAAGCTTCTAAAAATACATATTTTTAAATCAGGTCGAGATATTGTAGCGCATAATTTTAATTATACGATCCAAAAGATCAACCTCGTAAAAATAAATGGTCTAAACAACTAAATTTTGAAAAAATTATATTTTATACATTGGAATTTTCTGATAGCCTAGTTAATGAAAAATAAATAAACTTTATTCATTAATATCGTTAATTATATCAAACTAAATTTATTAATCTTTCAAGCCACAGAGATAACTATCTTTTTAAAAACACGTTTAAAAGCGCTCAAAAGAGAGCCACAAAATATTTTAAAAACAAGAGTCCTACAGATTCATTATTCTTTTAACACTGCATACTTTTAGACACCTTTAAAACTGTTAAAAAATCCGCCAAAATATTTTAAATAGTTTTAATAAAATAAAAGCACAATTAAAACCTAAAATGAAATAAAAATTTTTTCTCTCAGTGCATTCTGTTCCGGTCTGCCCTGGGTTTGGTCTGTTGGCTGGCTTGGTTGGTTGGTGTTGCACTTCCGTGGCTCGAACAACAGCGGGAACCGAAAACCGAAAAAAAAAAACATTTAACTGTTTCGCTGTTTGGCATTCATTGCGAATTTAAAGGGCGGCTTAGTGACAGGAATAATAAGGAAGCCCGCAGCGGAAGCGCTGATGTCAACGCAGCAGCAGCAGCACCACCAGTAGCACCACCAATGCCACAAAAAAAGATACAAAAACCACAAGGGACTCTATTGGATTTGGGTTGGGGGCGGTGGTGGCGGTGGTTCCGACGGGGGGGCAATAATGGGCCACGGCCCATGGAGTCCTTGCGGTGCCGTTGTGCCCTGTGCTGTGTCCTTTGGCCCCCTTTTCGTGTTTCGATTCGGTCTCGCATCTCGGCGGCCTGTGCAAACAAACCAAACCAAATGAAAGCAAACCAAACGAAACGTAACGAAATAAACCCAAAACCTCAGAACGTTAAAAAGGACAACGGACAAAGGCGAAGGGGCAAGTTTCAGTTGTCAACTATGCTAAATATTTGGTCTAGCTAACTGGAAAAAACACCGAAAACCGAAAAAGGCCAACCGAAGAAAGAAAACAATATGATATTAAACGCTTACAGCTGGAGCAGCTCATAATTTATTTCTAAGCTTGGAAACCCCTTATTTCCAACTTCCAGGTTTGGTTTTTTTCCATTTTTTTTGGCAGCCAAGTGGCAGACATCAAAACACACCCCCGGCTTTTCGGGTTTTTTGGGAAGGTACTCTGGTACTCAGATACTCTGATACTTCTTCCCGGTTTTGCGGCCCCCTGTGGAGAAACAACCCCCCTCGAAACCCCCTCCCCTGATTCCAAAAGCGGTGCTGTTGCATAATTTTCGGCAATCCACAAGTGTGTGTGGCACGAGTTCCTGCCAGGATATAGCCCTTTGTGATAGTATTGGTGACTCGTTGCTTGTGTTTTTGGGAGAAACATCTAAAATCCAGAGAGAGTCTGCGCAGGTTCTTTGGAAATACTCTCTTGGGGTTGTTGCATGTTTTTGGGTGTTTTTTGGGCGGCCCAAGGGGGTGGTGTTGCTAGCTACTTGTTGTGTCTTTGCTTTGGGTTTTAAATATAAATTTAAACCATAAGTCAGAAAAATTTTAATAAATATTTGGAAAATATATTAAAGTTCTATAAGTAACTATTTTTAACCCTTTAATAGCCAAGCCACAAAACAACCCCTTGCCAACCGAAAAATAACCACCACCCCCAAATGGTGTGCGTTGGTGTTGACCCGAAATCACGCACACTCGCTGTAAATCACACAAACATACAAATATATATATATATATATATATGCTATATGCTGTGGCCAAACTGAGCGGCAGAGCCAGCGAAAAGCTGCGAATGCCAAGCGCACAGTAGAAGGGAGTGGTACGTCAAAAACTGACGCACAGCGGCAGGCCAAACAAGTCCATAGTTTAATAGCCAAGCACCACAAACCGCACACCACAATAATAATAATATAAACTGTAAAATATATAAAAAACACACAAAAAGTCCAGGCCAAAATCCGAAAAAAATTACGTGACCAAGTGCAAACCGAGAAAATAAAAGAAAAACAAAAGGAAAATCTATAACTATAAAAAGAAAAGAGTGTGTGTGTGTGAAGGAAAAAACAAGTTACAAATCAGAGCGAGTACGAGCGTTTCCTACTATATCTTATCATATAACCGCCTTTAGTTTACCGCCCAAGTTTACCTAATCGGTAGAAAGAATACCCGAAATTTCGATCCTTAATTATGCATGATTTAATTTGGTGTTGCATGTGACAAAGTGATATATACGATGGATATTCGCCATGCATGTGTGTGTATAAGTCGCTGCAGCTGCAAAGTATGCAATAAAAATCTCGCATTGTTTATGTGCAGCAGCAGAGAAAGAGAAAGAGAGAAATTGAGAGGACACCGAGAGAGAGAGAGTGCGAAAAAGGGGGTGGTGTAAGGGGGTGGTACAGTGAGGTAGGCTAAGGCAACCAACAGTTGACTATTTGTTGCATGTACTCGCCATCACTTTACTCGCTGCAAAGCTTCAGCGAGTGCGCTGACTGCTCTCGCTCTTACGCTCTCGTGAATGGGGGAAAAGCGAACTCTCTCTGAGAGCTTCTCCTTGGATTTCAATTCACAAAACATTCGACAAGTGCAGAGTGAACAAGTTGTTGTTGCTGAAGCAACGAACGGAAAAAGAGGAAAATTTATAGGATTTTCCAAAATCGGCAAGGCGCAGAGGCCATTACCTAACAAAATATTCAACATGTGATACAAGTAAAGCGAATACCGATATATACATCACCCCCACATAGGTAATCCCTATCAAAAACGTAGAATCTCGAATCTCGGTTAGTGCATTTCCTAAACAATGGCAGCGAGTATATGCGCCATTTTTAAACGTGGGATAGGGATAGATAGTTTCGGTGTGCGTGCGTGTGCGCCACCTTCCAATGGAAGCTTTTCCGCCCAGCTCTCGCCACCCTCCACCCCCCTTTTCCACCCCCCAATTTTCTCTTTCTCTCTCGCCGTTCCACGCAGTGCGGAAAATGAACTGCCTGTCCGTGTATAAACCGTGCAATTTAGTGCAAAAAGTATAACAATTTATCAATTAAGTGTAATCAAGTGTTGCAAATTCCCCCAAACCACCCGGAAAACCCACCACCCACTATGGGAACTATAGCCTCCTCTTCCTGGATGTGATGTCCTGTTTCTTTCTGTTGCGTTGACGCTGATTGCACGGCGGTTTCTGCATTTATAATGTAAATATTATGACTGCCAACCACTGCAGGAACTTGTTTACAATTTTCGCACTTTAATCGCCGTTTAAATTATGCAATTTCGTTGGTTGCTTTTTTTCCTCCTTATTTTTTGTAGTGCAAGGTGTTTGGAAAGTGGCGGAGTGTGCAGTTAATGGTTGCCATAGAGTATTTACCTGCGATTTATGGGGTAACGCTACGGCAAGGGTGTATAATGGGCTATCGGGAATTGCTTAGGGAGTTTCTCCAACGGGTTCCTTACTTTTTATGAGTTCAGCAACCCAGGACTTTGAGTTTATTGAAATATTTAAGGAAAAATTCATTACTTTTAGCTTTAATATGCAGTATTTAGACTATCAATTTTACACCATTGTTAAAAAAAGATTAAATTTAAACCAAAACGAAATATACGTAAAACTCGATAAATGATTTTCGAAGATCTATAAATACAACTTATAAATTGTAAAAAATTACCATTTAGAAACAAAAAATTTTATTTATAAATAACTTTTAATATCTGTAGAAGAAACATCGATATACGTTGCAGTTCTAATTAAGATCTAATAATATTACAATTTTATAAATTCTTTTTAACCTTTTAAATTCTTCCTTTTAATTTAAAAAATATTGTCTTATAAAATTGACAATTATAAATTATTTTAAAATTGTTTACATTTTGTTTAAAGTTGTATTTCCAAGTATTTTATAAAATTTTAATGATTTTCCGCATTATTTAAAATTTTTATTGGGGTTACAATAATTTACAATTACAAAATAAATAGTTATAATTTGTTAAATACTTTTTCTGTAGTGAAGAAGTGGGTTTCAATTAAGCTCCCACCATTTTAATAAGCAGCATGTTGCACAGTCTCACCTTTTGTCCGGGGTTCCTTTGTGAAGGAAACAGCTATTACTTGCATGTAAATGTGACAGGGTCTTTGTGCACTGTCTTGCCGGGTAAATAAGTGCAATTTAATTTACCGGCATTTCCATTACTTGCAGAAAACAAGAAAGCAGCAGCAGACCAGGTAACACGGCAGCAACATTGCAACAAACAGCAGCAACTAGCAACGCAACAACGAACGCCAAATACCTTGAAATATAGAAGATACAGAAGATAGCCTGGGTTTTACACAAGTTAAGTGAGCTGCCAAGGATCGCAGGTGGGGCAGGTGGATCAGGAGGAGGAGCAGGAGGATGCCAGCCAATATTGCAACATCCTCTAAGTCCACAACTCCAAGGACAAGGAATCAAAGCTGAAGGAGCAACCGCAGCAAAACTCTCAAGGCAACTCTCATGTCAATGTCAATGTTGAAGACGAAGTCGAAGAAGGAGTAGAAGTCGAAGTCGAGGGGGCGGGTCAAAGCTGTAAAGGCAAAAGCATTTTAACTGCAGATGACAAAGAAGGTTGTGCTACATCTACATAGTAAATACAAAACAAATCTAAGCATAAGATACACCCGAAAACCACACCCAAAACCCCAAAAACCCTAGACCAAAATAAACAAGGAAGCTAGAAACAAGCAAGTGGAAGTGGGGCATACCCGGAATTTTGATTGCCGAAGCTCCAAACTGGAGAGAAGAGGAGGAAGGTGACCCGTTTTGCAGGCAAAATGTCCGTGGACTTTATACTGCCCAATCGCAACAAGATCCAAACGATTGCCTATGCCAGCAAGAAATATGTGGCCAGTGGATCGGGATCCGGTTCGAATCCTGTTTCGGGATCCGGAGGATCAGGATCGTCTGCTGACTTGCAGAGCTGGCGACGCCCGAAGCCCAGGACCTCGGGAAAACTAAAGCTGGAGGATAAATCCCCACTGACTGCCAGTTCGGTGCTACGAAATGCCAATGGAAATGGAAATGGCCTGGGAAGTGGAAATTCCAGCAAGTCAACACTCAAATCGATGGTTAAACGAAGCTCGCGATCTGTCCTCAAACGGGAGATCATCGATCTGGACGACGAGGAGGGCGAGGAGCAGGAGGATCAGCTGTGCGAACATCTGGAATGGTCAGCTGCCCAGTCTTTGGTCCAGATGAACTCTTCCAAACAGGAGAAGCAACGGCGGGCAACGGGCAACTCACCTGCAACTGTGGCAGCTCCCATCTCCGCCTCAGGTGAGTGATGATGGTTGATTTTCTATAACAACCTTATAAAAGTAGAGAAAATACCAATTTTAAAAAATCCTTTACTAAAAAAAATTCTGTAGAAAAGAGAACGGTGGGGTAAAATCGACATACCCTACGGATTTAGCCCAACACTTATTTATTATTATAATACCCATAATATTCCTGAACTGATGTGGTCTACAAAATACAAATAGATATTTCTAAAAAATAATGTGATTTTTGGCAATTAACCAGAACTGCATTATTTTAAATGTTTAAAAGCTTTTATATGAATAGGATTTTGGTTATCATAAAAATGGGAAAAATTACTGTGACTCCAAATATTAAATCCTCATAGTTATTGCTCTACATTTCCATTTTTTACCAATGAAGAGATAAATGATTTTAGAGAAATTTCTTGGCATATTTTATTGCTGGAATTTAAGTTATCCAATTAAGGAACCACTTTTTTGAAGCTCCCTTTAATTTCAAGTGAACATTCTTCCGTTGACAAAAGCTGTTTTCTTCTGTGGGTATTGGCTATTGTTCAATTTGTTCCATTTGTGGGACCTGCTCTCCGGGTCTCATGCCCCCCGGAATCACCCGAATCACCCGGAATCAACCAGCTGCACTCCCCCCTTCGGAAAGTTGCGTCACAACAATGTGAACAGGTGGCTGCGACAATTTGTGTGTGCTCGTATTTATTTTTAGTAGCCAGGCGGCTACTGTGATCCCACTCCATCAACGGAAAGCCAGCGGCACTTCCAACCATTTTATGGCCACCCACTTGGCCAGCGTCCTTCAACCGCTGGCTGGTGACCCCCCACTGGTGGTGACCCCAACCCCTCTTGGTTTTTCCCCACTTTGAACACTCCACTGTGAGCGCTCGTGTTTGACATTGTCGCCGTTAGCTAATCTTTTTAGCGTATGTTGGCATTTTCCATGTTTGCGCTTGCCTTCTTGTCGATGTCGTTGCTTGTTGCTCTTGAATGGAGGAAAAAAGCCTGGGAAAGCGGGGGGAAAATCGGGGGAAATACGGAGGAAAAGCTAAAGAAGAAGCAAATGCAAACAAGCGGCATTGACTGCCACTGGCAGTGGGTGGTGAATGGGTGGCGATGGGTGGTTGGGTGGCTTAGATGGCCCGAGAGGTCGTCATATCGATTGAGGAACTCGAAGAACGTAACAGGTCAGCCGCAGTGGAGAAGGGATATTGTATATTGCGTCAGCTTCATAAAATGCCAAAATGTGCATTTACGGTTACTGCTGCCTTTATGATTCCTTTTCGTATCCCCCTAATTCCCTCTGTGGAATATGAGTATGACTTGCATTTGGCACACGCACCCCAAGTAAATACATATATATTTATTTAGGGAGCTTAAAAAGGGCAAAGAAAAAAAGAGTCTCAGTTTTAATAAAGACAGTCCAAAGGAGCTGAGGGTTTCGGGTTTCACGTTTTGAGGTCTACAGGTGGGAGCTTAAAAAAAAAAAATGAAAAGGGGTCATAAATTTAAAAATATTTATTTTTAAAATTTGTTCTTATAATATTTATTTTATGATTTAATACGATGATTTACGATGATAAATAGTTTTAAATATTTTATTTTATTTATATTACTTTGTCTTGTTATTTTAATTTTATTTTGTTAAGTATTTCATTTAGTTTATATTTTAAATCGTTTAAACAAATAACTTTTGGTTAAATAATATGTAATATTTTAATTTATTTTTATATTTTTAAGTTTAAATTTAACCATCTTCTTGTTTTCTAAATTGTATTTTAAATTTAACAACTGATTAAATAAAAAAAATTTACAATTTTGTTTTTGGTTTTATTTTTATTATATTTTGCGCAGTGCACGAAGGTTATTTGGGTGTTTCTAGGTTGTTTTTTCCCTGCTTTAATCTTTGCCCAACCAAATTGATTGGATTTACCCTAGAATCAATCACATGCCAAAGAACAACTTTGATTCAAATTGAATTTGAGCTTGTTCTGATGCCAATTCCGATTCCGACATTAAAAAATCGGTTGGCAGCCCCCACTGGTGTAAAAGTTGACCCCTGGTCGAAGGTGGCAACCCTGCAGCTGGTCAGTCTGAAAAATCAACAAGTCGCCTGGCAATCATACTATTAAGTTTGGAGATATCTTAATTTTTTCTTCGCTTGGAGGGTAAAAATGGACTTTAAGGGGTTTTATGAGCAGGACGAGGATGATTCCCAGCCACTGGACTGTTAGTTCTAAAGAGTTGATGAGGTATTTCTAGGTTACTAAAACTAAGCTATCAATTTCCCCATAAACAGTGTCGCTGCGCCGTCCAGTGGGCAGGGCTCCGGCGGAGGATGGCAAGGTCATCTTCTACGCCCCGCCCAGTGGATCGCCCCGTCAGCCGGAGCCGGTGACCTTGAAGAGGGAGCGCGAGCGGGAGAGGGAACAACGAGAGCGAGAGCGGAAGGAGCAACAGGTGGTGGCGCAGGTACAGTCGACCTCCATTTACCGGGGACGCAGCGTGGAGGAGACGGAGGCGGCCCACGATCTGCTCTCCCTCTCGCAGAGCCTGCCGCCCCTGATCCCGCCCTGCGTGGTGACCATCATGAAGCAGGAGCAGGAGCAGCTCCGCTCGCCGGAAATCCAGGAGATGACGAACAGCGCTTCCAGCCGATCGCCCCAGTCGACCATTCGGTTCATAGGCAGCACATCCTATGACCTCATGATCGGCGGTGGATCCTCCTCCTCGGATGCGGGGGCCACCAACAACTGCTCGCCGCTGACGCCGCCGAACTCGGACCACAGCTCCGATGTGGATATCGACATGTCTTCCTCCTCCGAGTCGGGACTGCAGCAGTGGGGCAAGCAGAATCAGCAGCGAGCCTCGGCCCTGAAGATGTGCCTCAATATGCTGGACGGCAGGACGAAGGCCAGCAAGGCGGCGGCAGTGAAGCCGCAGGAGCCAGTGCAGCCGAGGCCCAAGAGTGCCCAGAGTAATGCTTCCTCCTCCGGAGGCGGAGGAGGAGGAGGTCCCCCCTCGGAGACCCAAGAGGTGGCATCCTCCACGGGCCACAGCTCCTCGGGAGGCAGCGGCGAGAACTATGCCAAGCGGAAGAGGGGCTGCTACAAGTGCTGCGAGTGCGGCAAGCAGTATGCCACCTCCAGTAATTTATCTCGCCACAAGCAGACGCATCGCTCGCTGGACTCGCAGTCGGCCAAGAAGTGCAACACCTGCGGCAAGGCGTATGTATCCATGCCCGCCTTGGCCATGCACCTGCTGACGCACAAGCTCTCGCACAGCTGCGACATTTGCGGCAAGCTCTTCTCGCGGCCTTGGCTCCTCCAGGGTCACCTGAGATCCCACACCGGCGAGAAGCCCTACGCCTGTGTGCACTGCGGCAAGGCCTTCGCCGATCGCTCCAATCTCAGGGCCCATATGCAGACCCATTCGGGGGACAAGAACTTCAAGTGCCATCGCTGCAACAAGACCTTCGCCCTCAAATCGTACCTCAACAAGCATCTGGAGTCGGCCTGCCTCAGGGATACGGGAGCCATCGATCAGGGGGCCAAGGGACTGGAGGAGGACGAGGAGGAGGAGCAGGAGCAGGACGAACTGGAGATGGATAGCGATGAGAACAGCCAGGATATTGTGGTGGCCTAAGAAGAACTCTCCTGCCCGCAACTATGATACTTTATACCATGAACCCTATAAGCAATACTCGAGCACCCTTATCAAATTAATACTAAACGAAAAAAAAAACAAATAAGAATTAAAAACAAAGCAAATCTAGTCTAGAAATCGGCTTACTAGCGGAGTAGTTCATTAAAAGGCGAATTATGATGATGGATCTCAACTCAATAGAATCTTCTTCAAGCAGTTATATACACACACACTTATATCTACTCACTTATAATCTGAACTGTCCCAAGCAAAATCTTTCCAAGTTGCAACTTTTACTGAACGAAGATTGAGAGGCAAGAGGAACAAAGCAAAAAACAAAAGGTTTGAGAAGGAAATCCAAAACGTAACTTATAGTAAAAATCTGACACAACGAATATTATGGAACATAAGTAGAAATTCTATATATACACAGATCAAATAAGCATTATATACAGAAGAAAGGAGGGAATAGAGAGGACGAGGACGAGGAACGGCAAATTATATGTATACATATGAACTAAATGATTAATACCTAGCGAGCAGAACCAATTTGCATGTTTTTTGGTAAATATCTACTTTTAGGCATCGTTTTAGGGCTCTAGAGTTTATATACACCCCCTCACAGATACCGATTACACTAAAACACACTACCCACTAATCCACTCACCTAGTTGTAGTCCGAGTACTTAAGGATTCGATCGGAGCTCAGTTCAAGTCTTAGCAAACTAATCAATTAGTGAACTTATAGCACTTCCCGCAACTCCCTATATCTCTCTCGCTCTTAGACTCTTTTTAACCGTACTCAATTGATCAACTCAAGTTTAGCAATCGGAAACCGGATATATATATCGGATATAGAATCGAACCAGAACGAGACGAACCATTTTAACCGCTGCGCTGCGGCAACTTTACACTCTAACCAAGTTTAAGATGAGATTACTTCCATATTATGCTCTAACTCGATAAACAGAAAACTACTTCAATTACTTAGAAATGATTAAAATTAATGAGAAAACAATTTAGAAACATATCACAAGGACAATACTTAACATAAATAAAGATACATTCAAAGTATGGAAAGTATATAAATGGCGAAGGAATCGTATCGCCGCGAAGACCCCAATTAAGACATTCTCATACACACGCAACAAAGTACTTACGAAATAGTTATTTTATTACTAGCATTAGAGTCCCCGATCCCCCGAAACCCCGAATCGTGTATATATACCTATAAAATGCAAGTTTAAAATCAATTTTATACAAGAAACTACCCCCGTACCCGCGACCCCTCGAGCTTTGGCCCAGCCAAAGGTTTCTTATGGAAAGGAACGCATCCTTCCCCAATCGCAAGTAGGGATATCCCTAGATATCCTAGATATTCCCCGAAGTTCTGGGAGGTCGATGATGAAAGGTTGATGAAACGATGATGATAGACGTAGAAGACGCACTTGTAAAACAAATGATAACTAAAAGCAATTCCAAAGTTAAGTGACATAGTTTTTAACAAACAAAATACAAAAATTTGTAATTCTATAAAACCAAAATCGAGAAGTATTGATATATACACAAAACATGTATTTATTTTACGCGTAGTTTTTATTCCGAAACAAAAAAGCAAGAAAAACAAAGAAAACCGAAAGAGTAAACTTGAAAACAATTTAATTAAATTGTCAATTACAATTATTTCATAATTTAAGAATTGATGAAAACGAGGCCGATGCGATAGAGGTTATTTTTTAAAGCATATATATACACATAAATATATTACAAATAAATAAAAATATATTTAAAAGAGGCAGTTTTATATCGAAATTAATAATAGTAAATGCAAAGTAACAACAAAATATTGAAAACCATTCGAACTTAATTATACAACGAGCAAGAAACCATTAATTATAAAACCCCCCTCCCCCCACACTCACACTACCACACACACACACATACGCCCACAATTTTATAGCAACAACAGATTATTACATCGTATCTACATACGTGCGCGCCATGTAGATAACCAAAGTAAAGTAAAGTAACGCCGCATGTCGCAATTCTAGCAGCAATTCTAGAATATCGGGTGCAGAATTAGAATTTAGACCAGTGAGTGCTATGTGCATTGTTTATAGGGCCATAGTTCGAAATCGTGTTTATGCATGGCTTTATTGATGATTATTGATAGCGTTTTAAATAGCATTAAATGCCTATATACACATAAGCAAACCAAACAAAAAGCAAAAAAAAAAAACAAACAAACCGAAGAAAGCTAAAAAAAACGTATATAAGAAATTCCATTGAACAGTAGTGGTAACAATTATGTGATTTGCAATTTTACATTCAAAATATATATGAAATAATTACGAATATAAATAGATTATATATTGAGGCGAGCGTTTAATTGATTTATTTATGAGTAAGATTTATTTATACACATTATACACCACAAAAAAAATTAAATGAAACGAGAAACAAACAAAATGACAAAACGCTAAAATAAGAAAAACTCGAATGGATTGAGGTGAGGCGAAGCAAAAAATATTTTTACACAGAAACCTTGTTTTATACACGCGGCAAGTTGAATCCCAAAATCGAAATACCCTAGCCACACCTGCAAAAATTAATTAGAGCCCCCCAAAAAACACTTGTAAAACAGATGTGCAGCTGTGCTCCCGATTTCACTTACTTTTGACGTTTTTATTTAATCTTTTAATCAGGCAAAAACAAACTTAAATGTCAAATAGAATAACCCGATTTACCTTTTTCATTTGCATTTTTTTGGAATTGTCTCATAGTTGATTGAAAATACAATTTAATATACCAAAAATTGAAGATAGTGAAATCGGGAGCTCCACCTGATAACCACCAACACCACACACACCCCCTCGATAAGAACAGATTATTTCAAGATCAATGACACCAATTCCATTTTGATTATTATACAATAAACGGAAGGAAGGGCAGAAAGCGAACAAGCGAATGACGGTGAGATATTTTATAAAATGAATGAATGAATAACGTAAAGATATTAATTTATATATTCATATATTAGAGATGCAAAAAGACTTGAACAGTTATATACATTTAAAATTGCAATATATTGTATACTTCATTAAAAATATATACATACATACCGGCATATATGCAACCACGTATATAAGTATACATATTTAACTTATTTATATAAAATGCTTACAGCGAACCATAAAAACCATAATATACATCATAAACCGAATCTCAATTTTTTCCAAATGCAAGACGAATAGGAATCCCTCAAGTAACTCAAGATCAATTCAAGTACAGTATATATACTCAATGACCACCCGGCCGGCCAAATCGTCTGGCCGTACAGGAATATATAGCTAAAGAAAAAGATATATAAGTAAAATACGTATGCAATACAAAAATGCCACGCCCACTCCCGATTGGCAGGCAGCGATTTTAAGGCGCTGCCCGCAGGAGTTTTCACCAGATCATCAGATCAGATCAGATTTTTCCTTTTGATACTTAGCATTCGTTCTTGTTCTACTTTTAGTTAGAGAATGTTCAACTAGTTTCAGCTTTCGTAGGAGTTAAATAATCGACTTTAAAGACACACAAACACTAACACCCACGAAAAACAAGAACCTAGATGAACCGCAGCTATACTAATAATCCCGTAACCCCCCAGTAAACACACTCTATTAGACACTAGCCGACACATCTACAGACATACTACCCACATGCATAACCATGCGATTTTATGGCAAAATATGTAGAGCATATAACCTATTATATCCCAAAGAAAGCTAATCCATTCTTAAATTAATATACACGCGAGTAACCGGAGAAAGCAAAGCAAAGCGAAGCGAAATGAATCGAATCGAAAGCAGAAGAATCACAGAAGAATCAGAAGAATCCATTATGGATCGACAACAAACAAAAAGAATGTACGCAACACGAGTAAACTCCCCCTCAAAGAAACAAACAAAGGCAAACAATACATCCATAACAAGATCCAAAGAACGTATGACACGATGAGTCGAAGGAATATGAATTAGAATCATAGTTATAAAAGCTACACCCACACACTAGTGCAGCCATGTAACTATTTTTAGAGCCTCGGAAATAAACATACATAAAATACATAAAAATATTAAATAAACGACAGAGAAAACAAAATATTTGCGAGGTTTCTATTTTTTTGGAAGTGGGTTCGAAGTAAGTATGGTTTTGGATTTGGTATTTAAATATAATATTTTGAGATATGATTAAGGCTATATCATTATTTGTTGTAATTGTTATTTCAGCAATTATTTTAGGTAGTAATTAATTAAATTATACGAAACTAAAAAATTAAAAATTTTATGAAAATTTAAAATATTTTTGTGAAGACTTATTTTAAGTAATAATTTAATATACATTTTGTTTTTGAAAGAATAATTTTATTTAATATACATTGTATTTTATAAACCACTTGGTGACCTTCTTATGACCTGATAGTATTTAATTAATTTACGTGGTTGCAATTGCTCTTTTTGCTAACTTTTTGAAACTTTAATTAATAAAACCGTTGGACTTCAATGAAAGTTAATTGAATGGCCCATAGAAAACACGCACTTTAAGTGCACTCGATACCCCAGGTATCCACAAACATTTTACACTGAGAGTTAAGTGGTGGCGGGGATGGGTGATTTGCTTTGTTTTAAGGGCAAATTACTCTGCAACTAATAAACTATGCATCGCTGATTTAACTCAATTGGGGGAGCAGTAGGAAGCAGAACGGGGAGCTTAGTCAACAATCCGCATTCAGCAGTTGGGTGCACATATAGTACAATATATAGTACTTTCAGCTGTACTTGAACATTATATCGGAATCTGAAGAGGGGGAGGGGGTTCGGGCACACAAGAAGACAAGTGCCTCGTCATGTGGAGTGTGTTTAAATGAAATTGCTTGATTCGGCATAAACATATTTACTCTGTTGAATATTTGCCCAACAATTTGAATCGCAATCTGGGTGGGCGAGTGTCCTGGATGTGAAAGCGCCGAATGTCGAAATGCCGAAATCAAAATGGAATTGTATCAAGGACGCGGAACAATCGAGGCGGGCAAACAGACAGAAGTTCAGGAGGCCTCTTTCCGTTTCATTCCCCCTGAAAAATCCTCCACCTCCACTTGCATTCAGATACGAGTACTTGTATTCCGATTTCCGCCGTTGCAGTACAACCGAAAACCCATCCATCCATCCATCCATCCAAACAGCAAACCCAACCCAACCCAACCTTCCACCCACCCGCGGCATTTCCATCCACAGATGTCAGCAATTTCTCGATTTGAATACTCAACAAAAACGAAAGTGGGCAAACAATTCAAAGGAGAATATTGTGCGGAGCAAAAAATAACAGGCAGCAGGGCGCAAAAAAGACGAACCTCTCCGCGCAAATGGCTTCTCTAACGACCCAATTAATTTGAAACAAGTTGAAAAAAACACAGAAAAAAAGAATAACGTTTGAATTTGAGGAACAGCAACAAAGTGTGGGTAGAGTGGCAGGAGCGGAACGCCACAGGCCACTAAATGCTAGGTTAAACCCCAAAACCCATACCCTTGACGCCGTTTTCCTCCTTCCTTCAGAAACTCCGGCAATTGCCGCGAACCCAAAGCTTTTTATGCCCCACCACAGCTCGGAAAGTTCGCCGACAGCTTCATTACCAGCCATCATCGGAGCCATCATCATTCCGCCGCTGTTGCCGATGCACTGAGGGAAAAAAGAGTATGGCTTGGAAATTTTACTAGTATATAGAAACAAAGAAATAACAATGTAATGCCTTGAAATCAAAAATGTTCCGAAAGATTAAATAAAAATGCATACAAGATTTTAATTTTATACAAAATCTTTAGCGGTTTTTAAACTGTTTCTGGAGGGCATGTTCAGTATTCTTTTAGAATTCCCTTAGGGAACTGTCTTAAATTAAAAGAGATAATATTATTATTAATTTTTTATTATACTTTATATCACTTTAAAATTTAAAAAGTGAATATTATAAAAATTAAAGATTGGCTTTTGTCTTTAATTTTTGATTAAAATGTTAGAAAATATTTATGAGATATAAGAAATATTTAAATCTATTTTTCGAATGAAATTTTTAATTGCTAATTAATTTTTTTATGAATTCTGAAAAATGGTAAGCTACTATAGTAGTTATAAATGTGTATCTTGAAAATAGTCACTCACTAAATGGGAATTTTTAAGTATTTAAAATTTTATATTAATCATTCGTAAAAATCCACGCTGAAGGTTGACTCAATTTCTCTCAGTGCTTGGATGCTGCTACCCATGAGTAATTGGCCCGGCAAAAAAAAGTTTGCTGGCGTCGAGTCAGAGATTTAAGCTTGGCTGCTGACCGATCTAGCCTGAGTCTCGAGTCTGGAGTCGCCTCGATCGCAGTCCGAAATAAAATCGCGGGAAATTCACAATATAAATATAAACCATGGTCAAGACATCTGCCAGCCTGGGAAATAGCATCTTGCTAGGTGTTTCTCTAGTATTCCTAGTTCTCGCCATTCTCACCGAAGGTAAGTACGCAAAAATGATTTATTTTTTACGAGCATAAAAATTAAATACTTCATATTTATGGCACATCTGCTTGAAGTATTCACATCTATTGTTTTGGGATGAGAGCCAGAAACAGGTTTTCGAGCGCCAGAACCGCCAGAAATGCGAAATCAGGGGCGTAGTTTGAGGGGATCTTGGGGCTTTAGCTTTGCTCTCTGCCTCTCTTTTGGCTCGTTAGTCATAATTACGCTTTGTCGTGATTCAAGGCTTCCGGGTGTATGTCATAGCCAAGGCGGCGGCGATTAGCCAGCTGATAAGGCAAACAGAAACAGAAAAAGCTAAGAACGGCAACCGCTACATAATTTAATGGCATGTAATTAAATTTTCCTAAACCCACCTCCCCACCAGCTGCACCCTATCAGGAGCTGGAGCCCCGCAAAGGTCATGTGCCCGTCTATATTCGACACGGCGATGAACCGCTGAGCGAAATCCATCCAGGACTGGCCGAGGCCTTCAGGGAAAGCGAATCCCAGGTGAGTCCAGACAAGTGCTTTAAGGAATTTCTTCTCAAAAGTACGAATGTAAACTATATTCTAACCATTTCGAATACAAACATGTAATTCATAAGTAATTTGCATAATTTTAATGAACGTTGACCGACATTCCTACAACATATTTATCTAAATAACTATTTTACTCATTGATTTAAAATTTTTAATTTCCTTGCTTTCTTGAATTTTTTTGTATTTTTTTAATATTTTTGCTTCAAATAAATAAAATTTTATCTCGGTAATTTAATCATGGTAAAAACCCATGCAATTATTTCTAGACTTTTCACATCTTTATACTTAATTTTTTTCCCACAGAACCACGTCACTGAAGCTCCCCAAGCTGAAACCACAAACCCACCAAGCTCATCTGATGGTCCTGTTCCATCCAGCTCAACGGTTTCCGATATAGCCAGCTTTGAGGCCATCAAAGCCAAAACGGAATAATACACTGGAATAAATTTGAAATCTATCCCAAAACTTCTTTGGTTTACAAGTTAAGTCGATCAGTGAAACTAAATACAAACAAATAAATGTTTAATTAGAGAAGCATGGCTGCCATTTCTAGCATTTTTCAAAATAGATTTATTAATGATTTTATAGATCTAGCCAGAAAAGCTCTGTTAAACTCTTATTTTCCGGAAATCGGTTCCTATATCAAGTGTTCTGTTTTTAGAAAAATATTGTATTCGTTTGTTTTTGCGTTTTATTCAACATCGGTCCATTGTTTGTTGGCAGCACTGTATTTCTAGTCAAAAGAGCGACTCAGGCTATTAGGCGCTTTATCAGAACATCTTGATACACTTATACATATTGATACACTGACATTCAGTTGAATAGGTTCTGGAAAAATAAAAAATTCCAAAGATATTACTCCTTTCTTGAATCTTATCCAAGTCAAATTCATTCAGATTGTTATGAATGAGAACAAAAAGATCATATTAAAGATAAAATTGATAGAACTTAAACATTTCTTGTATGAATTTTTTCTGCAAAATTGAATATTGAGACTCGCATTACTAGAAAAATGTTGTTTTTAAGATTAGTTCGCATTTTTCTTGCTGGGAAAAAAGGGAACCTAAAAATAGAACAGCCAAATCTACTTCCCTCTTTCCCCTCGGCAGCAAACTTTCAAAATCTTTCAAACGCGCTCTCTCGTTTTATTTTTGAGAAGCTACTTGGACTATTTGATTGTACTGAAATGAATGTATGAAACTATGAATAATCAGCTCGTTCTCTTTGCCATCGGAATTTGAGTTTAGAATGGCAGCAATCTGGCTTCTCGTTCAGTGAACTTATAGCGATGGTGCGTGTTATTTGCCTGTTGCTCGTTTCAATCGCGGCTGTTTCTCCATCTCCCAACCCTGTGATGCTGGAGAAATGCAGCAATTTCTACGACACTGCCTGTCCAAGGAGCCAGAAAGATACGTATAACCTTATGGAGGAGGGGGTTGATCTAAGGTCCAAGTTGATAATGGACCACCTGGGGGTGGAACCATGGTCTTTCGGTAAATACAGCGTGGAGGCAAAGATCCAGAAGTACTACTTTAACTGCGGTTTTGAAAGTCCCAAAATTTCTCTTGGCCAATTATTTGAAAGGTTCATCAAACCATTTGTTGATAAAGCAGATAGTTGGTTTGATTTGACTGCCATTTCACAACGCAATGGATTAAGCGGAAATTTGATAGCGCTTGATGTGATTCCGTATTCGAAAGCCCCTAAGGAATATATAATAGAGATAAGAAGGCCAATATTTTTAAATGGTGACGATGATAATGATAATAACATACAACAAAATTCGGACATCAATAAGTGGATTATGTTGCATAAACAAATCAAAGACGTCTTCGATGAAAGGGTCGATGTAATGAGTGTAGTTCAACTTAATGCCGAGACCGGTTTGGATTGGAAAAGGTTCTTCGAGACAATTCTTAACCACTCTATCCCTGAGGATTTTAAGGTGCAGGTCCGTAATTTGGACTACTTCAAGCGCCTAAAAAAATTGATGGACACCTATGAGAACGCCATAAGCATGAATTATACGTCAGCGAAATTAGTAGACCGCCTGGGAAAATTCCTTAGTACGCACGTAGATTGTATCAAGGATGTGCGCCTAAACTTTAATTTGGCCTCGAATTTTCTATATTTGGAGCGTTCCCAGGATCCAGCCATCCAGGAAGTGAAGAACCTCTTCGAGGATTTGCGCAAGCAGTTGCTCCAGCAGATCGAAATCAACCATTTTGGCCTGTCTGCTGAACAAAGGGAATGGGTCGCCGGTAAAGTGCGTGATTTGTCCCTCAGCATAGGTAACCTGCCGAAAACTAGTAACCTTCGCAGCTACGTCAGCCAGTTCTACGAAAACCTGGATATTCCTTGGTACAGCGACTTTAATGAAAACCGGGTCCAGCTTCAAAAGTTTCGCTTTCAAAAAACAATATCGCTATTGGAAGGCAGGACTTCGGAAGAATTGACTGTCCTCCCTCCGGAATTGGATGCGGCGCCCTTCGCATCCTACGTACCAATCGCAAACGTCATTGTCCTGCCATATGAATTTCTTCAGGAAGCTTACTTCTCGTTTGACAGCGAGGATGTGTCAAAGTACAGCCTGATGGGATTCACACTCGCCCAAAAAATGATATATGCCCTTGGCATAAACGGCATGTTCGTCGATATTTACGCCAACTACAGTACAGAATGGAGGATGCCGCAAATGGAGAAAGCTTTAGACTTGGTTTACGATCGTAGATTTACTGAATCCTATAAGATTAACAGCTATTCCTATAGGGGTTTTGAACCCAATTACTTGAGCGACACGGAACAAAGAGAATTGAAGGAAAGCCACGAAATCTTTATGAATATCATGAATTTGCCGCTTATTAGAGCGACCTTGGAGAAAATAAAGTTGAATGAGGATCAATCGGAGGAGACCATCAATCGCATTGCCAATCTTGCTGCCCTTCATCTGGTTTACTCAGCGTACGAAAAAAGCCGTACAGACATCGCGAAATCATCGGATTTAAAATTTTTTTTGTATCAGGCCAAGTACTTTTGCGTATATGATGGAATTCAAGACTTTGTGAATATCACGGTATTTCCGCATCACCTGCAGGAAATGCTCAATCATTTTGAACCATTCAAGGTGGCTCTGCATTGCGAATCGGATCATCTGACATCGGATCATCTGACACTTACTGCTATTATTTTTATTATTATTACTTTATTAATAGTAATATTACTAACAACAATAATAAATTTCAAAAAATATCACCCGAGATCAAACCAAACAAAAATGTAAACTCACATAACATTAACACAATTTTTGCGAGTCTAAGTTAATTGTTATCTACGCAAAGATGTAGTGAAACAATTTAAAGTTTTTTCGCAGTACTTCTTCTTATATATATCAAGTAATAAGTAATATAAATAAATAAATAACACAAGCACACAGCCAAACATTTTAACGCACTCTTTAGAGTTTTTTATGATATTTGGGGGCTGCTAATCTACGGGAGTTGGAAATATGGGGGATAAATCCATTTCCTCCCCTCTGTTAAAAAGTATAAGCAAATGTGATATTCAAACAGTATGCAACAGAAAATTTGTTTTGAAATCCCGCCATAAGCAATTACTGGATCCGCCACCTTTCCGTTATTTACAAAAAATAAATTTTTTTGAATGAAAGAGAATGTTTAACATTACTTCCACGTGCTGGCAATATTTATTTTTGTCCAAAAAAGTGGCTCAGACTATTGGGCGCTTTATCAGAACATAACTTCCTGAAATCCACATTCGAAAAAATATTGATACACTGACGTTCGGTTGAATAGGTTTTGAAAAAATGGATAATTTCAAAGATGTTATTATTTTCTTAAATTTTAGCCAAGATAAATTCATTCAGATTGATATGTATGAGAACAAAAAGAGCATATTAGTTAATATTGTGATCCGTCATCAAGCATTTCTTCATTTTATTTTTTAGTAATTATGAACTACTCAGTTGAGCGGAAGTGTATGTATGTAAATGTTTTTCGTCAATCTGAAATCTCTTCCGGTCGTAATCAGCAAGCATTATCGAAATACACTTAAAGTAAATATACAAAATTGATTTTTTCAGATATTACCCGCTTAAATTCAATTTTAGGCTATAAATACTACAAAAATTGTTAGTTTTAAGATTAGTTCGCATTTTTCATTCTGGGCAAAAAAATTAAAGCTAAGAATAGAATAGCCCAATCTATTTCCCTCCTTTTCCTCGGCAGCCGACTTTCAAAATTTTTCAAACGCGCTCTCTCATTTTTTTTTGCGAAGCACTTGGACTATTTGATTGTACTGAAATGAATGTATGAAACTATGAAATTAAATTTGAAGCTCTTCCGGTCGTAATCAGCTCGTTCTCTCTTCCATCGGAATTTGGGTCTAGCAATGACAGAAATGTGGATTCTGGTTTAGTTAGCTTTTAGCGATGGAGCGTGTTATTTGCCTGTTGATTTTTTCAATGGCGGTGGTTTCTCCATCCCCCAACCCTAAGCTACTGGAAATCTGCGAAAATTTCTACGAAGCTGTCTGTCCAATAAACAAGGAAATTTGGGAAAACTTTCTGGAGAAACAGGTTAATAAAAACTTGGGTAAAATAATGGAGAGCCTGAAAAAGGAATCACGGTTACCGGATTTCGATCAAACCAGCGTGGAGGCAAAGATCCTGCGGTACTACCTAAACTGCGATAGGAATAACCGAACGATTTATGCTGACCAATTAGCCGAGGACTTGATTAAACCAGTTCTTTTTAATGCAGATAGTTGGTTCGATTTGACGGCTACTTTCCAGCGTGATGGACTCAGCGGGGATTTAATAGCGGTTAATGTCATTCCGAATTCGAAAGCCCCTAAGGAATATATAATAGAGATAAGAAAGCCAATGTTTTCTAGCGATGACGATGGCATTTTAGAATACAATTTTGACAATAGTGCTAAGAATATCTTAAAACAAGCTGTAAATAAACTAATTGAAGAAGACGACAAGGAAGAGGTCGAAGTAATGAGTGTACATCGTCTAAATTTCGAGACCGATCTGAATTGGAATGAGTTCTTCAAGACAATTCTTCACCACTCAATCCCAAAGGACTTTCAAGTGCAGGTCCGTAACTTGGCCTACTTCAAGTGCCTTAAGAAACTGATGGACAACTATGAAAGCTCTGTAAGCTTGACTTATACGTCAGTTCGATTGGTATACCACCTAGGAAATATGCTTGTAAAGACAAGAGATTGTACCACGGAAGTGCGCCAAAACTTGGACTTAGCCTGGAAACTGCTGTATGAGGAGCGTTCCCAAGATCCAGCCATCCAGGAAGTGAAGAACCTCTTCGAGGATTTGCGCAAGCAGTTGCTCCAGCAGATCGAGATCAATCACTTCGGCCTGTCTGCCGGACAAAAGGAATGGGTCGCCGGTAAAGTGCGAGATTTGTACCTCAGCATAGGAAATCGGCCGAAAACTCGTTACCTTCGCAACTACGTTAACCAGTACTACGGAAACCTGGATATTCCATGGTCAAGTAGCGACATTTATATAAACCGTATTCAGCTGCAAAAGTTCCGCTTTGAAAAAATGATATCGCTACTGGACGGCAGGAGTTCGAAGGAATTGACCATCATTCCTCCGGAGTTGGATTCAGCGCCCTTCGCATCCTACGTGCCAATCGAAAACGTCATCATAGTGCCATATGAATTTCTGCATGAGCCGTACTTCTCGTATGACGGCGAGGATGTGTTCAAGTACAGCCTGATGGGATTCACACTCGCCCAAAAAATGATATACGCCGTTGGCATAAACGGAGTCTTCGTCGATATTTACGCTAACTACAGTACAGAATGGAGGATGCCGCAAATCGAGAAAGCCTCGGACTTGATTTACAATAGCACTAAATCTTATAGAATGAACAGATATTCTTATAGAAATTACGAACCCAATTTCTTGAGCAACACACAACAAAGAGACGTTTATACAAGCCACGAAATCTTTACGAAAATCATGAATTTGCCGCTTATCAGAGCGGCTTTGGAGAAAGTAAAGTTGAATGAGAATCAATCGGAGGAGACCATCAACCGCATTGCCAATCTTGCTGCCCTTCATCTGGTTTACTCAGCGTACGAAAGAAGCCATAGAAACCTTACCGAGTGGACAAAGAAATTTTTTCTCAATCAGGCCAACTATTTCTGCGAACTTGATAGAACTCCTGGCTTGGTGAATATCACGATATTTCCGCACCACTTGCAGGAAATGCTCAATCATTTTGAACCATTCAAGGTGGCTCTTCCATGTGAATCGAATGATTTGACACTTACTGATATTATTATAATTATTACTTTAATAGTTTTAATATTACTAACAATAATAATAATTTTAAAAAAATGTTGTTCGAGATCAAACCAATCAAATATGTAAGCACATATAACATTAATAAAATTCTTAGAGTCTAAGTAAATTGTTATCATTAATTTAATATTCAACTCTACGCAAAGATGTAGCGAAACGATTTTAAGTTTTTCGCAGTACTTCTTCTTATATATCAAGAATCAAACGCTCTTTGTAATAAATAATAGAAATAAATAAATAACACAGGCACACAGCCAAACATTTTCACCCACATTTTAGAGTTTTTCATTATATTTGGGTGTTGGTGAGTAAAAGTCCAATAATAACTTATGTTCCATCAACCACAGGTTTCGCAGCATGCGCTAATCCACGGGGGTCGGGGGTTGGGGATATGGGGTATAAAAGTATAAGGAAATGTGATACTCAAAAAGTATGCAACATAAAATTTGTTTTGAAATCACCCAATAAGCAATTCCAGGATCCGCCACTGTTCCGCCATATAGCTAAGCTATTTATATTTACTTCCATATTTATTTGTATTTAAACAAGAAAGGAAGCTAGCTTCGGCCAGCCGAAGCTTAAATACCCTTGCAGATAAAATAAATACCTACAGTGTAATACTCACTCTTCCCGATTCTGCGTGCCTATAAAAAATGTTGTTTTTAAGTTGTCAAAAATGGAAACGCCTTCTTTCTACAAAGTTACAATGAATTTTCTTATATTTGTTTGATTATTCCTATGGGAGCCTTAAGATATAGTGGACCGATCCGGCTCGCTCCGACAAATGTACTACCTGCAATAGAAAGAAGACTTTTGAGAAAGTTTCATCCCGATAGCTCAAAAACTAAGAGACTAGTTTGCTTAGAAACAGACAGACGGGCGGACAGACGGACATGGCTAGATCGACTCGTCTAGTGATGCTGATCAAGAATATATATACTATATGCGGTCGGAAACTACTTAGACTACTGGGCGCTCTATTAGAAGATAACTTCCTGAAATCCGCATTAAAAAATAAGTTTGGCCCAGTAACTATTTCTTCATTTTATTTTTTAGAAATTATAAACTACTCAGTTGAACTTTTCATCAAATTGAAATCATTTCCGGCATGATAAACTTGCGCTAGCTCTTATAGTTGCTGAGATCTCAGCGTTCACACGGACAGACAGACGGAGAGTTCTCGGACATGGCTCGATCAACTCGGCTAGTTATCCTGATCTAGAATATATATACTTTATAGGGTCGGAATCGGTTCCGTTTACTTGTTACATACTTTTCATCGAATGCAATATACCCTTTTAGCCTACGAGTAACGGGTGTAAAAACCCATGAAATTATTCCTAGATTTTTAACATCTTCAAATTTCACTGTTTATCGCAGATCCTCGTCAACGAAGTTCCCCAGCCAGAAACCACAAACCCACCAAGCTCATCTGATGCTCCTGTTCCATCCAGCTTAACGGTTTCCGATATATATATTTAAATAAAGAATAGATAAATGTTTATTTAATGGAAAACTAAGTTCAACTTTAATCCCTCATGCTGCAAATATTTATTTTTATCCAAGAAAGTGATTCATACTGTTGGGCTGTTTATAAAATCTGCGATAAAAAATTTGATTTTTAAACTATTTTTTTGTGTATGGTGTATGGTTTTCGTCAATTTGAAATCCCTTCCGGTCGTAATCAGCTAGCAAAATCGAAATACACTTTAAAAAAAAAAATAAAACAGATTTTTTCAAAAATTTCCCGCTTATATCTCATTGAGTTATTACTTTTTCCACATACTATTTTCACATTGCCACTTTATATTACACTTTTATATTATACATATAATACTATTTGAATTCTTTCTATTATAAAAATCGGACATTAATGGGATTCATGCCATAGGAAAAGTCTACTATTACAAATCAAATTGAATAGAACTTGAAAGATTTCTTTTATGTGTAAATTACCCCCTAAATTTCTTCTTAAAAATCGAATTCTTAGACCACCAATACCTAGTTAGCTTTCAGCAATGGTGCGAATAGTTTGCCTGCTGCTCGTTTCAATCGCGGCTGTTTCGCCTTCTCCCAGCACTCAGTTGCTGGGGAACTGCAGCAACTTCTACGAATATGCCTGCATTGCGAATCGGATCATCTGACACCTACACTCAGAAAAAAAAAATTCCTAGATTTAAGGAAACATGGACTGCATTGCCTAAAATGGTGATTTAAGGCCATTGTGGACTTAAAAATGGTGACCGTAGCCATGAATGCAAAATTCAAGTCCATAAAATTTTAGGAATTTATAGTCTGAAAAATAGTTAATTACCTAAAAAATCGGAAGGGCCTATAAACATTTTTTTTTATGTATTTATTTCTTTTAAAGGGCCTGAACCAAGGGTCTTCGGCATGAATAAATTATATAACTTTGCGATTAGATCAAAGAAAACCAGTAAGGTATATATTTGATTTTAATATTTTAGATTGCGTTAGGTGATACATCCTATCGGACTTGCTATAAAGTGCAAGATACGAGACCCCCGGAATGGCTACGGTAAAATTCGAAGGAATATTCTAGCCAATAATATATCCAGTAATGCGTGAATAACGTTTTTTGTTCATATTTATTTAAATGTTTTAATTTTACATTTTTTCTGTCTATTTAAATTGTGAGACTTTGTTTGAGTTTTTGAAAAATAAAAAATGTTTCAGGTTTTTTATTTGCATTAACAATTCTTTCATTGAGTTTTTGAAAAATTAAATTTAAGGTTTCAGGTTTTTTATTTGCATTAACAATTCTTTTGTTAATACAGACTGGTATCTTTTAGAAGGTACTTCACTTATTAAGATCGTTTATAAATGATATGACTTTAGAAATGTTATCTTCAGTAGCAATATCCATTTCAAAAAAGTATTTATGGATAAAGTACCACACGAGTTTCGACTCCTCTGGGTACTTAAGATCCAAAACATTGTAAATTTTAAAGCATGCGTCGACTGCACTGACAATGTCTTTGAATTCATAAAATATGTCACTAAAGTAAATGAAGAACTCTTTACATTCAATCTCAGAGTCTCCAACACCGCATATGATGGGTTGTAAGGTTAATTTTTCTTCAAAAAGGGTTTGAATTTTTCCTTAATGAATGTGTTGAGCTCTCCGAACGACTGAAAGCACTGGAAAAGGATTTCCGAGAGTCCGCTGTAGTTATTTTGGCAAGTCGCTTCTTAGCCTCTCCGCACTTGACGCTTCGGCGACCCGTTGGTGTCAGCAGACCGTGGAGGAGGAGGAATACTGACAGATCAATTGTCCCTGTTGTACAACAAATAAAATTAAAATTAGTTTTGTTTAATAATAATTGAAATACGCATTCAATTATTTGAAATGGCAACCAAAAGTGTCATTTATAATAATTAAATAATTTAGGCAGGGCATAAGTAAGAAGGATATATAAATTTACATAAATTACCTTCTTCGGCTCCTTTGATTAGCTTCAAAATTTTGACGCTGAATGATTCCTTCAGGCGTTTTTCGGCAATCGGAAGAATTTTGTTTTTAAATTCCTCGAATTTAGAAAATAAATGATTTTCTTTTGCGGGAAATCGGTCCGCAAAGTCGAGTTTCAGCTGAAATAAAATATATGTTTAATATATATATTGGGCGTAATAAAATCGTTAGAATATGTATCTTACCAGCTCAGCACCAAAAGACTGTTTTAAAATGGGCCATGCCGTTAAAATTTCCTTCAATGAAGTTTCCGAGACAAGTTGTTCTGTGCGCTTCTTAAAAGTGTTTTCCCAATGGCGATATATTTCTGCCAGATTCGCTGTGTCATCGCTGTTGCATTGCAGCCATATCATGGAGTAGCTTACTGAATCAATGTCCTCCTCTAAAAAAGAAAAATATAAACGTCAATATTTTGAAATAACAGCGAATTTAAAGTTAAAAGAATTACCTGCCAAACTGTTTGAATCATCATCAGATTCGATAATTGATTCCTCCACCAATGATCGATTTTTAGAAACGGTATTCCTATACCTGGCATATAATAACCCACCAGCTTTTTTGTTTTTGATGGGTAGATAGTAGGTTTCCTTAAAAAAATCATAATGTGTATATAAATATGTGATGAATAATTTTTTCTTTTATGTTATACCTTAACCTCTGTTGGAAAGAGGCTTACAATGTCAACAGCTACTTGATCAAATTTTTTGGTTGCCATTCTATTTTGTGATTAACCAAAAAATCGCAAATGATGCCACATATGGCCTTTCTTTGCCGCTGTTCCAAGGACTTGTTTGTGCGGTAGAAATTGTTGATTCCCTTAAACAGGAGCGACTCTTGAAGAATGGAAATGGCGGAAATCTACATAAACAAAATTAAGTTAAAAATTGTTTACATGTATAGTGACATTAATTTACCTCCGTAGCCGAATTACAAGCCCTTTTTTCCTGCTATGTGCCGAAATAAACATCGTATATAATACTTAAAATGTTAAAGTTATAATATAATATTACCAATTTCATGCGTAAGGAGCGATTATGTTCGAACTTCACCCTAGCACCATAGAGTTTTTTGGGAACGATCTCCCGTAAGTGATCCGGAGACAGCAGTAAAACGGAATCTTCGTCTATTCCGTGATCTGTTAAAATAAAGACCGATTCAAAATTAATTTTTCACGAATTGTTTAATTTATTACAATTAACTAAATTTAAAATCACCGTATTTTTAAATTCTTACCCTGGAAGCAATCAAAAAGCTCTTCCGAGTTCAATTTTTTAAAATTTCTTCCATCGCTAGTAAAAATAAAAATAATAAACCAACTTAATGAAAATATTATAACCAAAAAAGGGTGAGTAAAATACATATATCTTCCTCAAGTCCGTCAAGTACTTTTAAAGCCAGCCACTGCAGCTTAGTTTTAAGGAAATGTAAACTCGATTCGCAAATAATCTCTTTACTTACTTTATGCACTAGCTAATTCTTAAATGATTAAGTTTTAAGTTTGTGCATATGTATGTACTAATGAGTGTAAGTATGTGCACATACACGTGCAAGGGCAGACACAAATATTTTATTTTAAAGAAATCACTAGTTTTTGTTACTCTTAAAACTATACAGCTACTTTCTCCAAACTAAGTTTTAAGTTTTAAATCTTTTTATTATTTTGTATTATATTTAATTTTAAAATATAAAGCACATGTCCACACACATATGTACATACATATGTATTTATTTGCAATCACACATGAAAACTTCAGCAAGGCTGGTTTCGGCCTGCGATTTTATTTACCAATAATATAAAATGTTATCCGATATGTATTTATTTACTTTGTTAATATTACTTCCTATACACAGTAATCCTTTTGACTTATTGTTTTCAATCGGGCACTCAAAAACTTTTCAATTTGGAACTCAGAACACAGTAACGCGTAGCAGATTTGCCGGTGATTAAGTGTTGAAAAACGAAGTTGGTAAGCGGCCATTTCAGGTTGGAATTCTTCAGTGTTGCATTATGTGCATGGTACAATAAATATAAGGTAGAAAGATTATGGTAGCTTGTGGTCGATTTGGACCCCTAGATCATAACAAAGAAGTCCAAAAATTGTTTTACCCAAACATTTTTTTAAGATTTGTGGTGCGTTTGTGTTTTTATTTTATATTTTAATTTACAACTTTTTCGATATTTTCATATAAAATGGATTTTTTTCTTAGATTGACATTAAAGTTGCACCACAAATTTGCTTTTTTATTGTTTTATCCAAACATTTTTTTTACAAAAAAACCCTTTTATATGAAAATATCGAAAAAGTTGTAAATTAAAATATAAAATAAAAACACAAACGCACCACAAATCTTAAAAAAATGTTTGGGTAAAACAATTTTTGGACTTCTTTGTTATGATCTAGGGGTCCAAATCGACCACAAGCTACCATAATCTTTCTACCTTATATTTATTGTACCATGCACATAATGCAACACTGAAGAATTCCAACCTGGAAATGGCCGCTTACCAACTTCGTTTTTCAACACTTAATCACCGGCAAATCTGCTACGCGTTACTGTGTTCTGAGTTCCAAATTGAAAAGTTTTTGAGTGCCCGATTGAAAACAATAAGTCAAAAGGATTACTGTGTATAGGAAGTAATATTAACAAAGTAAATAAATACATATCGGATAACATTTTATATTATTGGTAAATAAAATCGCAGGCCGAAACCAGCCTTGCTGAAGTTTTCATGTGTGATTGCAAATAAATACATATGTATGTACATATGTGTGTGGACATGTGCTTTATATTTTAAAATTAAATATAATACAAAATAATAAAAAGATTTAAAACTTAAAACTTAGTTTGGAGAAAGTAGCTGTATAGTTTTAAGAGTAACAAAAACTAGTGATTTCTTTAAAATAAAATATTTGTGTCTGCCCTTGCACGTGTATGTGCACATACTTACACTCATTAGTACATACATATGCACAAACTTAAAACTTAATCATTTAAGAATTAGCTAGTGCATAAAGTAAGTAAAGAGATTATTTGCGAATCGAGTTTACATTTCCTTAAAACTAAGCTGCAGTGGCTGGCTTTAAAAGTACTTGACGGACTTGAGGAAGATATATGTATTTTACTCACCCTTTTTTTGGTTATAATATTTTCATTAAGTTGGTTTATTATTTTTATTTTTACTAGCGATGGAAGAAATTTTAAAAAAATTGAACTCGGAAGAGCTTTTGATTGCTTCCAGGGTAAGAATTTAAAAATACGGTGATTTTAAATTTAGTTAATTGTAATAAATTAAACAATTCGTGAAAAATTAATTTTGAATCGGTCTTTATTTTAACAGATCACGGAATAGACGAAGATTCCGTTTTACTGCTGTCTCCGGATCACTTACGGGAGATCGTTCCCAAAAACTCTATGGTGCTAGGGTGAAGTTCGAACATAATCGCTCCTTACGCATGAAATTGGTAATATTATATTATAACTTTAACATTTTAAGTATTATATACGATGTTTATTTCGGCACATAGCAGGAAAAAGGGCTTGTAATTCGGCTACGGAGGTAAATTAATGTCACTATACATGTAAACAATTTTTAACTTAATTTTGTTTATGTAGATTTCCGCCATTTCCATTCTTCAAGAGTCGCTCCTGTTTAAGGGAATCAACAATTTCTACCGCACAAACAAGTCCTTGGAACAGCGGCAAAGAAAGGCCATATGTGGCATCATTTGCGATTTTTTGGTTAATCACAAAATAGAATGGCAACCAAAAAAATTTGATCAAGTAGCTGTTGACATTGTAAGCCTCTTTCCAACAGAGGTTAAGGTATAACATAAAAGAAAAAATTATTCATCACATATTTATATACACATTATGATTTTTTTAAGGAAACCTACTATCTACCCATCAAAAACAAAAAGCTGGTGGGTTATTATATGCCAGGTATAGGAATACCGTTTCTAAAATCGATCATTGGTGGAGGAATCAATTATCGAATCTGATGATGATTCAAACAGTTTGGCAGGTAATTCTTTTAACTTTAAATTCGCTGTTATTTCAAAATATTGACGTTTATATTTTTCTTTTTAGAGGAGGACATTGATTCAGTAAGCTACTCCATGATATGGCTGCAATGCAACAGCGATGACACAGCGAATCTGGCAGAAATATATCGCCATTGGGAAAACACTTTTAAGAAGCGCACAGAACAACTTGTCTCGGAAACTTCATTGAAGGAAATTTTAACGGCATGGCCCATTTTAAAACAGTCTTTTGGTGCTGAGCTGGTAAGATACATATTCTAACGATTTTATTACGCCCAATATATATATTAAACATATATTTTATTTCAGCTGAAACTCGACTTTGCGGACCGATTTCCCGCAAAAGAAAATCATTTATTTTCTAAATTCGAGGAATTTAAAAACAAAATTCTTCCGATTGCCGAAAAACGCCTGAAGGAATCATTCAGCGTCAAAATTTTGAAGCTAATCAAAGGAGCCGAAGAAGGTAATTTATGTAAATTTATATATCCTTCTTACTTATGCCCTGCCTAAATTATTTAATTATTATAAATGACACTTTTGGTTGCCATTTCAAATAATTGAATGCGTATTTCAATTATTATTAAACAAAACTAATTTTAATTTTATTTGTTGTACAACAGGGACAATTGATCTGTCAGTATTCCTCCTCCTCCACGGTCTGCTGACACCAACGGGTCGCCGAAGCGTCAAGTGCGGAGAGGCTAAGAAGCGACTTGCCAAAATAACTACAGCGGACTCTCGGAAATCCTTTTTCCAGTGCTTTCAGTCTTTCGGAGACCTCATCATATGTGGTATTGGGGACTCTAAAACTCAATGTAAAGAGTTCTTCGTTTACTTTAGTAATATTTAAGTTCAACGACATCGCTAGCCTCTGAAAATAGTGGTTGCTAACTATTTCATGATGTATAAATGTAAAAATTGTCACGTTAATCTTGAAGACCTAACTTCTTTTTCACACATGTTAAAGGAAACCACTTATTGCCTTTGCATGTATTTAAATGTGGTTTTCCAACATGTACCCAAGAATTTTCATCATTTAAGGTTTTAAGAAAACATATGATAAGCGAAGAAAAACAAACTTTTGTAGTGGCTCCAAAAAGCCAAATTGTAAAAACGCCAAAATCGAATGTAATTGCGAAAACATCAATTTCACAGTCTGAGCCATCCTTTGAATTTAACCAAAATGTTAATTACTCCAACTGCCCATTAACGTTAGCATTTAATCATCCTGCTAATTTTCAAGAGCATGCACTTAGAATGACTGTCAACAATTGCGCACAAATTAACCTGCCTAGATCAAAAACAGAAGAACTTCAAGAAAATATTAAAAAATTTATAACAATGCCAATCAAAGAAGAACTGGAAAAAATATTAGCTGACGTTAACGATCTCGAAAAAATTGAAAATTTAAAACAGTTTTGTGAAAACCCGTTTCAAAAATGCAGTTCGGAATATTTACTTATAAAAGAACTTAAGAATCGCGAAATGTGGCAAGATCCGGAAATTATTACGATTGATAACACAATTCAACCAAAAAGAAAAAAAAATACGTTCGGCCTTGACATAAAACTAAGCAAGGGAGTAATATTCCCTATAAAATTTTATCTAAAGAAATACTTTGAGCTTCCAAATGTGTTAAACGATTTTTTGTCAAAGCTAAATATTTTAAAAAACGAATCAACCTACACCAATTTTGTAAATGGAAATATTTGGAAAAGGAGATTCAATGAAAATGATAGCAATTCCTTTAGATTTCCCTTGTTTTTGTATTTCGATGATTTTGAGACAAATAACCCATTAGGAAGCCATTCAATGCCGCTTCTAGGTTGTTATTTCTCATTACCAACAGCTCCAGTACATTTGAAAGAAATTTTCATTGCTGCGTTATTTGAAACCAAACAAGTTAAAGAATTCGGTAATAGTCGTGTTTTTTTTAAATTAATTGAAATTTTGAATGATCTTCATGCAAATGGCATCAATATAACAACCACAAACGGAAATACTAGAATATACTTTAGTTTGGGACTTATAATTGGAGACAATTTAGGTCTGAATTCTGTTCTCGGTTTTTCAAGATCGTTTTCTAGCAACTACTTTTGCAGGTTCTGCAAGATGTCCAAAGAGGAGACTCAACATTCTTTCATTGTAAAACCTTCAGATTTGAGAACGATAGCTAACTATACAGAAGATACCAGGGAATGTAATGTGGCAGTGTCTGGCGTTCATGAGAACTCCATATTTAATAGAATTACAAATTTCTCAGTAATTGATAATTATTCTGTAGACATTCTACATGATATTTTTGAGGGAATATTGAATTATGACCTTTCCCATATACTTCTTCATTTTATTAACGGAAAAGTTTTTGACTTAGACCTTTTTAATATGCGCAAAAAAATGTTCAACTATGGTGAAACGGAAATAGGAAATATATGCCCAGATATAAGCTTAAATCACCTAAAAAAATTTAAATTTAAAATGTCGGCTCGAGAAATGATGACATTCGTTCATTACTTTCCACTAATAATTGGCGATAAAATTGCAAAAAATAGTAAAGTTTGGAGTTTCTTTTTAAACTTATCAAAGCTTGTTGATCTTTTGACCCTTTTTGAATACAAAACAATTGACATTATTCAGTTGGAAAAATATATAACAAGTCACAATAGAGCGTACACAACATTATTTCATGATACGCTTAAACCGAAACACCATTTGTTGTTACACTATGTAGATATTGTAAAAATGTCAGGCCCTCTTCGTTTACTCTGGACTTTTTCGTTTGAGGCAAAGCACAGGGAATTGAAATCTTATTGTAAAAATATAAATTCAAGAGTTAATTTAACTAAGTCTTTATCTTTAAAATTCAATTTTGTGTTTGCAAACAAATTACTAAATTACACCATCAGAAAAAATAGTTTCAGCAAAACCTTTTGCAAATTTGAAAGCTCAATTTTCTACACTAAGTTTAAATTATGCTATCCTAACACCATTTTTATAAATGCAAAAAGCTATTTATATGTGAAAAAAATGGATTCTGCTATAAACGCGACTACATTATTTTTTTTAATGAAACCAATTTCACTGCGTATGTCTTAAAAGATATTATATCGTACGATGATCAAGTGGTTTTCTTCTGTCAAGAGCTACAAACTGAATATGTTGAACATTATAATAGTTATAAGATAAATAGTTATAAAAACTTTACACTTATTGATATGAAATGTGTAACAAATCCTCCTGTTCATATTAATTTTAACCAATCCCATGAATTTATAAAGCCTAAGCTATTTTAATGTTATTTAAAAAAAAAGTAATTTATAAAAAAATCTAATAAAATTTATAAAAGCATTAGCTTAAAACCTGGTCTTTATGGCCGGGATTTTAGGAATTATTCTGTCTTTAATTTAAGGGAATAGGGGGATTTGTTTATTGGCAATAATGTGGACTTGAATTTAAGGGCATTTTGGTAAATTTTTTTGGCTATAAAATGGACTTGATTTCGTGCAATATTGGCTTTAATTTCGAGGGTTAAAATACCCTAAATTAAAGGTAAGGGAGTACTTAATTTAAGTCTATGTTTCTAAGGTCAATATTTCCTAAAATTTAAGGTACATTTTGGACTATAATTAAGTCCATCATGGCCTTAACCATAATGGACTTAAAACAAGTCCAAGATTCCTTAGGTCAAAAATTAGCCCATTTTACCTTTTTTTTAATCTTTTTTTTGGGTTTTAAAACTTTTTTTTTTTCGGGGGGGTTTCTATTATTTTTATTATTATTACTTTGCTAATAGTAATTTTAGTAACAACAATAATAATTTTAAAGAAATATCCTATGTAAACACATATAACATTGATATATTTTTTGCGAGTCTAAGGTTTTTGTTATCTATAATTTAATATTCTTACATCTTATTAGCAAAAAAAAATAAAAATAAATAAATACACCAATTTTAAAGTAAGATTATTACGACGAAATATTTCAAGTTGCGATGATGGAGTTTGGTGACCCAGAACCTGCTGTTTAACATGTTTTCTTTTAAAATCCATAACGGACCATTTTAACTCTTCTAAAGATATTCTTTTCAATATTTTCAAAAACATAAGACTAAGTTTGCTTTTAAATTACAGCGAAACACAAAAGGTTCCCTGACCCCAAGTGAAATAATCTTAAAAAGCGTTTTGCAACTTAATTATTTGTATAATTTGGAAAATTACCAGGCAAGTTAAGTCGCCTTAAACGATCCCATTCCATTGCGGTGCTCATCACCAGTGAGGAGTGTCCTTGTGTATGTCCTGTCTGGCGCGTTTAAATGAATTTCGGAATTTCAGTGGAGACCCAAGCTCGTTAAGAGCTGTGCAAGTTTCACACATTCAATGGAAATTATTCGGTCCTTTTGGGTTTTCGGTTGCCTCCAGCTCGTCGCTGAAATCGCCTTAGAGCTTTGTGTGTGATTTACTTGTTGTGCCCATTAGGGAGTTGCGAAGGAAGGACATCAGAGGGGACAGGACAGACAGGACCTGGCCAGGAAGCTGTGGCGCAAACGTTTGTAATTAATATAATGGCAACGGCTGTGCTGAGGAAAACTCCAAAATGGCCTACACACGTTGCGGTTCTTCGGCTTTTTTGGGTGGGAAAATTGAGGTCCTGGAAGGGGGAGGAGGTCCTGGCTGATTGGGGGCGATCACAAATTGTTGTTTCATTGTCTCTCAGCCCGGCTGTCTAACGAGCAATAAAACTAAATACATACACATAAAGTTAATTATAAAAGGGCAAAGGAAATTGGAAGGTCCCAATCCCAGACTATTGAGGACCTCTAGGATGCAAGTGATGGATTAACCAAGATGGAGTGTCTTTTTAGGGGTATGGGGTTTCGGTTTTATCTGCAGACGAAATCGGGCTGCAATCAAGAGGGCATTAAAAGGAAGGCAAAAATACTGGGGAGTAGAAAAAAGCGATGGAAAAAAGAAGAGAAAAATCCTCCGAAAAGAAATGCCACAGAAAAAAAGAAAGCGAAGAAAACTATGCGTAGTAAAAGCGAATTTTATGGAGCATCCTCGTTTAAGAAACAGCTCCTGAATTTAAATTTCTCCTGCGTTCGTTTATATACATATACATTTGCACAGACACACACACACAGAGAGCCTGCCAGGTCCGTGTTCTTGTATCATTGTGTGCGTTCGAGCGCATTCAACCTCAAAATGAATAATTGCATATGCTTCAATGATTTGCGACTTTATTCGAGAGAGCACAAGCTTCTTCTCGCAAGCAAGCTGCTCCTCGGCCATCCAACTGCCAATACTTTAAAGTTTAAAGGCCAAAGGTTCAATTGCAGGACATACGTACCTATAAAAGGACATTGGACACCGGCACACAGGACCATGAAAAATAAGGCAAGACCATCATCATCATCCTGGCTAATTTGAGAATTGCTCGGCTTAATTGCGCGGCACTTAAACAATAATCAAGTTAACGGTTATGCCAGCGATTATCGCCATTTTTACACCGATGCCAATACTAAGGATTATTGGCTGCCCATTAACAGGAGCAGCAATTCCAATCCGAGAGTGCCCCAAACCCACAGCCACACACCCTCATCCCCAATTTGATTTCGTCCCATCCAATGACACTCGTGCACTGCGGAAAAGATTATCACTTGAGAAGATGCTTCATTAACCTCTGTACAACTTTCGATTTTTTAATTTTTTAGAATCCTAAAACAATATGAAATATTCCCATTTCTATTTCTTTAAACATCTTATTAAATTCACATTTTTTACCTTATTAAATCTTTAGTATGCTGGATCATCTACAAATTTTAAATAAATAAATTGTAGCATTATTTTTTTTGGGAAAATAGTAAAATTTTAACTTTTACAATTTATAAACTAATTATATTTTATTGATTAACATCATATCATAAAAGAAGTTTCAAATTTATATTTTTAAAAATTAAAAAATATTTAAATTCCAGTTTATAAAATCAGTTTATATGTATCATAATTTTCTAAGTAAATCTAATTAAATTTTTTGATTAATTGATTAAATGTAAATTTATAATATTCTCTTGCATGAAGTTACTAAAAATAATATCAAAGTTGTGACTAGCGCACTAATTTATAAGTATTTTTTGTACTCGTTGCGTCAGGAACAAATAGAACTAAAATTAAATCTAAAAAAAATCAAAGTAGTCACTCTATTCAAAACTCACGGCAAATTAAAATATCACAAAAAACAAACGAAATACAGGAAATTATGAGTAAAATTAAGGACTTGTTGGTTGAACTGCAGAGGCAGGAGAAGGATCTCGAGCAGCTAAATCTTTCTGATTCTGTGGAAAATCCAGAGGCTCGTTTGGGCCAATTGGAGTTTTACAAGGCACAGATCAAGCTGTATAATAATCTGCGAGAAGGCATCCAGCTGAATTTGGAGCAGGAGACGAACAAGTTGGCGGCCGCCATTCCAAAGGACGATCGCATTGTTGAAATGCTCAGCCAGGTGAACGAAATCAATGGGAAATTGGACAAGATGTACGAGATCAACAACTGTTCCATCTGTGAAACGTCCTGTGATCCAAGTGGCAATCATTGCCTGGTTTCCCTGAGATGTGGTCATCTCTTTGGACGCCACTGCATCCTCTCTGCCCTCCGACAGGTCTACAGATGTCCCATTTGCCTGCGGGGAGCTCTCCCCTCTCATGTCCGCAAGATCTACGGCCTAAACTCTTTCCCCTTCTGAATTTTTTAAAGTTTTTTTAAATTTTTAATACTCTTTAATTTTTATTTTAATTAAATATTATTAATTTTTTTCAGTAAAACTGATTTAAATTTGCTTGGGTAGATTTATTATTTTAAAGAACAAATTTAAACAATTTTATAAACCAATCTATTTAAAAATTTTAACTTAAAATTATAATTTTCAAAAGAAAGTAAGTTCGGTAAAAACGATATTTTTGGGGGAATTACTTTAAAATAAAATTGTTTAGGTATTTTAAGTGTGAAATGTTTTTGCTTAAAAGCGATTAGACTAAAGTATTATTTTTTGGAAGACAATTTAATACGAAAAATATATTCGTCTTGAAAAGCTATTATTATGTCAAAGCTCTTATTTTTAGAAATAGTTAGTATAAATTTTCTGCAAAAAATGACCTTCCATGCAAATTTTTAGTTCTAACAGCTGAAATTAAATCTTTTTGATAACTTTATCAAATATTTAATACATTTAATTCAAAGAACCCCTTATTTTTGCCAGTGCTGGGGCATCTTTATTGGGTTTAATGTGAGCACATTTTCGCCATCGATGGTTACTATTAGCCGAGCAGACCACCCAAGATTCCACCTCCTCCACTTCCGGATCCTCCGCCGCCGCCGCCACCTCCACCACCACCTCCACCACCTCCTCCGCCACCCAAAAGACCGCCCAAGATGCCACCGCTGTTGCCGCCGCCGGTGATGCCGGGTATGGAAATGAGATTGCCCAGCAATGGGTTGCCATTTAAAGTGAGCAGGCAGCTGTCAATGCAATTGCAAGGGAAATAGCAAATATATATGAGAGCCACGCTGAACCGGAAGTTGGCACTTACCGCAGATCCAGCCGGATGACGTACTGACAGGCCCATTCCCGGAGGCACTGCAACATGGAACGGAGATATCGGGCTTTAAGGCTTTAAATTGAGGATATAAATTTAATCTGTATTTACCCGTAAAGCTTCGGGAGAGGGTCGCGGGCAAGTTTGGCCATCGGTGCCTCCTCCTCCGCCGCCGCCGCCACCGCCTCCACTTCCGGATCCTCCTCCGCCGCCACCTCCACCACCACCACTTCCGCTTCCTCCACCGCCACCTCCTCCCCCGCCTCCTTTGCCACCCCCTTCCTTGGGATAAACAGGAACCGGAACAGGAACAGGAACTGGCACCGGAACAGGCACTGGCACCTTCTTTATCGGAGTGGGGGGCTGTTCCCAGGGATTCTGGGGGTTCTTTAATATAAATATATTTTTAAAGATTATGTCCAACGATTTTTTAATATTAACTTACATTATGACCCAGAGACAGGGATATCAATCCCAGCACAGCCAGGGATAAAACCAATTTCCTCATCTCAGCTTTTGTCAGATTAAACTCATCCACTGATATATCAACGCAATGCCTCAAAACGGCTTTTATATAGGGCCAGGTTCTACAGGTGTTTCTATATGTGGGTCATGCAACAGCCGATATGAGATATTCCATTTATCCATTTTTAGTGTAATAAATGATAAAGGTTTAATAAAACAATGAGGTGGAGTTTGTCAAAGGGAATTCCCTTAAAGTAGGTCACGTTTTGCGAGAAAATTGTTCCATAATTTTTTTTTAATAATTAATGACAACTACAATTGACCTTATAAATAATAGTATAAGAAAAGAAAAACATCAGAACGGAAATTTAACAACCGAAAATTCAATACCCTTACATTACAGATTTATTAAAGAAAAATACGAATAAGAAAGTATTCTTTTGGGTTTTTTTGTTTTTAAATTTGGCGCTAAGCATACCGGGAAAAAGGGGCTACCATACCACTTTTCAATTCCAAAAAGTGGCAGCGCTGAATCGGTTTGGTAGCTCCGTTTACCGCCAAATTTAAATATATTTCGGATATAAACAAATAACTGAATTTATGTTTAAAGTTTTCGTAAATATTTTTTTGTAAATATGAAATTTAAATATTTATCTTATTTTTCTAAATTCACTCCAAAAAGAAATACTTGCAATACTAATTAAAAACATGAAAAAATAATAATAAAACAACGTTTCTGTTCCATTGATTTTCTATATATATTTCAATTAATTTGATAATCATAAATATTTTATTTATTCGCCATGCAAACCATGTACAATTACATAAATAGGTAGGTTCATTTCAATTTCTATTTGTGACTTTTAGTGGTTTCGTGTACTGTATTTGTATTTGGTTTTTGTTTTTTTGGCAACTAGTCGTATATGTATAATATTTATATATATATTTATATAAGTTACGAGAACTAATTGTACAATAATTCATCTAATAATACCGCTGTGTATAAGAGTAATATGAACGATCGCTTGCTAGTTGATTAGTATACGTAAGACAATATCATTTACCGTTGGCAATACAAATATCAATGGTGTAATTGATCTGCGCGAGAACGAGCGCAGTAAAAGAGGAGAAACGCAGATCCATAGTCAAATTCGAATCTGAATGCGAATCCGAATAGAGAGACTCCTGCTCGTAATTCCTAGTTCCATTGTACAGGTAGGTGAGGCTAACCATGCTAATCATCTTCGAAACTTTCAACTGACTTAACTTGACTTTTTGAGCAGTGTTTTTTGTGGATTTTCTTCGACAGGTGGTTGGTTCTTTTGGGGTAAAAAGCTTATGGACGAAAAGTAATCTCTGAGAATTTTTTTTTAAAAATATATAATAAATATTTTAATTGAAAAAAATATTAAAATATTTTAATAAATTTTTCATTAATTTTTTTGGTGTTCCTTCAATTGGTTTTTAAGTTAAATATCTTTAATTTTATTGTAAGTCTAACATTTGTATGCTTTAATCATCAAACAAATTATTAAAATAAATTATTTAGATATGTAAATTATTTTTTTTACTTAAAGAAGCTGAAACTATACTACTTTTCCTTCCTATAACGATTTTTCCTACCCAAAAGAACCACCCACCCATCGGTGATCAGTGTTTTTTGCATTAATCAGCAGTCGTGTTATTTTTTAAACGGGGTGGTCGAGAGTAGAATCAATAGATCAGTGGAGCGTTCAGCGTGCGAATCCAAATGAGAAACCGCAGCTGCACTGCCCCGGCGATCCTCAGGTGCACTGCATCTTCTTGCAGTTGCAAAGCCACTTGATGATCCTGGCATTCCGTTCGACAATCGACGGCGGTTCCGAGGGTCTATAAGCCTGCGTGGCCTGCGGCTGGGTTTCCGTGCTATCCGGCAATCGCATCGAGTCCACAGTGCTGACATCCGAAAAGAAAACGGTGCTGGAATCATCCGAGGCGTCATCCGTCTCCGAGTGATGTCTCCTCGGCTGGCTGTAGATCTCGTGGAAGGCCTCGTCGTTCAGCCCCAGACGATCGAAGAATTTCTCCAGCTCCGAAATGCTGGCATTCAGCGCCTCCCTCTCCATGTCCAAGCTGTTGTGGTAAACCTCCGAGGAGAAACCCTTGGGGAAGAAGACGTTCTCGTGGTCCACACTGCCTCGATGCTGTTTGTACGCAGCCAGGACTCCGCTGGCCGTGGCCATTCCTCCAGATCCTGGCGGTACTAGGCCTCCACCTCCTGATACTGGTCCTCCCATTTCTGTGCAGGGAATATAGATCCATTAAAATGGTTTTCACATTGAGCAACAAATTTGTATAACTAGTAAATTAATAAATTAAACAGACGATCCTTTTAAAATGATTGCACTTTTTAATCTTCTTTTGTAACCCAATAATAAGGAAGAAAAATAATAATATAATAAATATTTTTTCCTAACCAAGAAAACAAATTGTCAAAAAATTAAAAGCCATTCCTAATAAAATTCGTAATAAAATTTCCTATCAATTCACATTTAAACTTGTAAACTTTTTTTACAATTTTGTGAAAAAAAAATAATGAGGTTACTCCTTATAAAAATTCAAAAATAGAACAAAATATGATTTTTTCAAATACCGGAAAATTTAGGGAATCGTTAGATTATTCATTTTAATGAACCACTCTATATTTGAAAATTACGACCTGTCTTGATCTTAATTTTCAATACATACTTCATAAGAAACGATTCAATAAATTTTCAAAAAATTGAAGTCACATTGAGATTGTAATAAAATAATCTAAATGTATTGATATTTAAAGCTGAATTGTTTAGTTTAAGTTTCAAATACTTAGAAATCGGTTTTTACAAGTCGGGTTTCCAAAAAATAATATATATATATTTTCTAGCATAAGTCGTACTTAAGGACAATACGTAAATCAAAAAAAGGAAGCTACCAAATTCAGCTATATAACACATTATACCCACCTCCTTGAACTGGCAGTCGATTCCGGTTCTTGAAGCGGATGCACCGCTGCCTCTTGAACTGGATGGGCGGTGGACTGATGTCGTCCACGGAAGGCGCCGATCCGGGGCTCTGGACCAGGGAGCTCTGCGAGTGATTGATGCTCGTGTAGCCCTGCGAACTGGTGTGCAGCTGCTGGCTGGAGGAGCTCGAGTAGCGAGGAGTCTGGGTTTTCAACCTCGGCGATGGGGGAGTGGGGGTGTAGTCGTCCTGAAAGGCCTCCGGAACCTCGGGAGTGGGCGTAAAGTTCAGTAAATAATCCGAACCCATTCCAGTGTCCTGTTTGCAACGGCAATCCAAGCACTCGGTATTGCGACTCATGCCCGAATAATCCCCAGCTGGGGTGACATAGCCACAGTAGGAATTCGCCGAGTGCTGAGTGGAGGAACCACTGTCCCTTCGAGTGGCCGCCACCAAAGTGCAGCAGTTCTTGATTGTTCCGCTCGCCGGAGCTCCACTTCCGGCCAAGTCCCTCTGTCGCTCCCTCTTGTAGCAGGGTTCACTGCGATGGGTGTAGTGACCGGAACTTCCGCCGGAATCCCGGTTTATCGAGGACTCTCCTGCGGACTTGATCGATCTGTTGCCACGACTGCAACAACTGAGGATCTCGCTGTGCGGCGAGTGACGACTTATCTGCGTGTGCAGATCGGGCAGCGACTTGTGGCTATTGATGTTGAAGTCGCCGGCGGGATAGGGAGCACTGCGATCCTCACCCGTGTTGGGAACCTCGTGTGAGTGCGAGTACGATCGCTGGTAGTTGTATCTAAAATATCAGAAAAAATGGGATATTCAATTAATAAAGGTTATCTAAAGTAAGCATTTTATTAAAATTTATTTTTATTTTTTAATTGGAATTTTAATAAGGAGTTTATACAGGAAATACATTCCAAATTTAAAGCATGACTTCATTAAAATTTGTTTAAAAAAATACCAACTTATCTAGTATAAAAAGATTTTGGAATTTTCCAATAGACACCAAAAAAAAATCGATATGAAACGTAGATCGATTTTACATTATTTAAGATCAATTTTAATTTAATATGAGGCTAGGTAAATTTGACCTGGTCGAAAAGGGTATTTCATGTAAAAACGAGCTGTGTTTTGCATTACCTGAAATTTACATGACCATATCGATTTTACGGTGACATGCTTTTTTGTGTGTATTTATTTAATTAATAAATACTAATATTTACTACTCTGAACTGCACTTCATATTTAGACCATATTTGTCTAAGACCATTTACCATCCTATTTTTTGGATTTTTAAAAATATTTTATTGTAATGATCTTAGAATCATCTCTCCATATCTCCATTTTCAACTTCTTTTTGGTTTATAATACCTATTCTTCATATAACAATTAATTTAATTTTCCTTTTTTTTAATTTGTTGAACTTTTATAAAACCTATCCACCATATAAAACTATATCCCACTCACCTGTAGCGATCGTTGTGAGCCTGTCCCGACTTGGCCGCATATTCGGCTGGCGGGCTGATGGGTCGATAGTTCTCGGTGAGAACCAAGGGTTCCTCGCCGTCCCTTCCAAAACCATGGGCGGGCATGTAGAGGGGCGGGGGAATCTTCAAAGCGCCCGCCTGACCCTCATCCTCGCCATAATCCGTGGGCAGCAGCTCCGCACTGCCGTCGTTCATCTCGTGGCGCCTCAAGGTGCCGCCTCCGCCTCCATTTCGCTCCTTCGAGGTCTCCGATCCCAGTAGCATGCGCAGCTTGTGCTGCAGTAGGTTGTTGTTCACCGCTGCCCCTCCTCCTCCTCCGCCTCCGCCGCCCCCTCCACCGGTGCGACCTTGACCTTGGCCTTGCGAGTGACGGGAGTGCGGGTGGTGCTGATGGGAGGGGTGGGCGTGGTGGTTGTGCAGATACTGCTGTTGCGCCTGCTGTTGCTGCTGCTGCTGCTGCTGTTGCACCTGCTGTTGCACTTGCTGCTGTCGACTGAGATTCAGGCTCATATACCTTCGATCCTCGAGATCATGATGATAACCATGGGTTTCCTCCGGTCTACGTCCCCTTTTCCCGCTAACTCCATTGTTCCCGCCTCCATTGCGGTAACTCGCCTGCTGCAGTCGCTCAAAGACCGCCTCGGATTTTATATAAAAGGGTTTACTTTCAGCCAGCAACTCCACAGCGGACTTTCGCTTGCTGTAATGCCTGCTGCCCGTGTGATAGAAGGCGTTGTGGTGACCCCAATAGTTGCGACTGGCAGCCGCCGTTTCCGGCAGTGCGGAGGCGGAAAGAGGTCGCTGGCCTCCCGAGGAGGTTGACATCCCATAGCCATAGCCCACATCCTGCATTCCTCCTCCGCCGCCGCCTCCGAAAATCTGCTGACTGGTGGCGTACAGCGTTTGACTGGCTGTCCTCGAGTATTTGGGCATCGTGGGATAGGCGGAGGAGGTCGTCGAACCATGGTGACCTCCCGGGGAGCTACTCCCATTACAGGATCGCTGACGCGGACTGCTGCATCCATGAACCACGGCAGCCATTATTGGTTAGTAATGGGTTTCTAGAGTTCCTATTTGAGTTCTTTGGTTTCCTTCGATTTTCGCGAATTCTTCAGGTTCTTTTAGTTAAGAGTGTACTTGCTCTACTTATCATTGGGTTCTTTGAGTTCCTTGTTGCTTATAAAATTCTTTGAAAATCCCTCCTTTGTATTCTTGGTTTTTTTGATTTCCTTGGGATCCTTAAATTTTTTGGTATGAACGTTTTAAGTATCTAATGTGTTCTTTATATTTCTTGAAATATTTAAGTACCTTGAGTTCCTTTAGTTAGCTATTTTTGAGTTCTCAGGTTCTTTCAGTAGTACGACATAAATATCTTATGGGTTCTTTGGGTTCCTTGAAGTACTTGTGATCTCCAAGATGGTCAGTTCCTTGGGCTCCCGCTCCTCCAGTTCCTTGGGCAGGTGTTGCTGCAGGTGTCACCTGCTGTTCCACCTCCCAGTTTTCTTCCTCCCCCAGCTTTTCTGCTGCCTTCTGCTGGCCTCGATTGGCGGGGGTGCGAGTTAGGGTCCGGGTTTTTTTGTGGCATGCGCAGTGGTCGGCGTGCTGCGTATACTGAAATTACAATACAATAATTTTCAGCTAACCAAGGCTTGATGTTCTTGATGTTCTCCTCGTACTACTACAGCGCCTCCATGGCAATGGCCAAAAAACTAGACCAGACCAAGGCGAAACCAATGCACTGGGGCACCTCCAATCGGGTGTAAATATGGTGGTTCTATCGTGACTTGGTCTAGTTACCAGTTACCCAGGGAGTATTTTTAGATTCCAGCGCACTTTCACTTGAATCCTTTAGGGGTACACAGAGTTATAGGTGCTACCTCTTATATTTAAACTTTAGTTATAAACAGAGAAGCACTTTTCAATACCCAGACTTTCGGTGTAGTATCCTTTATAAGGTTTTCCTTTAGAACACACTCACATTCCTCGGCTGGGAACTCACCAGGCGCTACGAATGAAAAATTCCTTCAGTTGTGCAGTTCAGACGGTGGCAAGGTCTGCTACATTGTGCCTCTTTGAATAACAGATGTTGTGCCGCTTCCAAAGTGTTCCATCCTCCCAAAAAGCTTCACTCATGCGCATCGAAAATAAAACCCCAGGCGAAGCTTTTACTAGTCTTATAGGTGTGGTGATAAACCGAATTTTTACCTTTTCTAGAACTCACAGAAGTTGCTAGAGTCTTTTAAGTTTTAAATCACTAGTTTCTTAAATTTTAAGCTTTTACATTTAACAACAATTTAAATAGAATTTCACAAGTTACTAAATACATAGACAATTAAAAAACTTATCGACCAAATACACCATTTACAATTCATATATTTCTTTAGCTAGTATAATATCATTTAGAATACTCTTTTTATACTTGTAGCTGTCCCTAAAAAATGTACGTTTAATATTTCAAAAATTATAGTTAAAAAAATAAATCTCAATTTTATTTTTAAATTTAAAACACCGTTTTAAACTTAATCTCTGAGTTATCGCTATCTTCCCGCCAAAATTCAGAGGGCTTTTTGAACAACTTAGTCAGAGCTTTTTCCATATTTTTTCTGAGAGAATATATATTGAGAGAACTCAGAACTCAACTCATTTTAGCTCAGTCAGTCAGCCAGCAACTGTGGAACCGCCAAGATGTCCAGCAAAGTTCCGTACGTGAAGCACAACAATGGAACCCAGATCCAGACCATTGGATTGGGCACCTATACGGTAAGACTGCCACTTAAAGATCACGTCTTCGATATGGATCGGTGCAACATTATGGTTATCTCCCGTAATAAAATGATTTGCCCTTTTATTTTCAGTCGCTGGGTGGCGATTGTGAGCGGGCCACGCTCCATGCGATTGATGTGGGCTACCGGCACATAGACACCGCCTACTTCTACGAGAACGAGAACGAAGTGGGTGCGGCTGTCCAGAAGAAGATTGCCGATGGGGTGATTAAAAGGGAGGATATCCACATCACCACCAAGGTCAGTTGGCAAGGGGTTCTAGGTAGTCCACATCATAAAGTTATAATCCTTAACCCATTTCCCTTAGCTTTGGTGCCACTTCCATGAACCCGAGAGGGTGGAGTACGCCTGCCGGAAGACTCTGCAGAACTTTGGACTGGAGTACGTGGATCTCTATCTGATGCATTGGCCGTACTCCTATGTCTACAGGGGCGACACCGAAATGATGCCCACCGATGCCAAGGGAGAAGTGGAACTCAAGTGAGTAGCGATGGGAAAATATTTAAATATAATAATATTTATAATATATATAATATTAATATTTTTCCTATTACAGCGACATCGATTACCTGGACACCTGGCGTGCCATGGAGAAGCTGGTCGAACTGGGCCTGACCAAAAGCATCGGCGTTTCCAATTTCAATTCGGAGCAGTTGACTCGCCTGCTGGCCAACTGCAAAATCAAGCCCATCCACAATCAGGTGCGTCAATTGTGGTTTTCCTCTTTGGGTTTTCAGTTACTAATAGACTATATTTTCCAGATCGAGTGTCATCCCGCGTTGAACCAGAAAAAACTGATTGCCCTGTGCAAAAAGAATGATATTGTGGTTACCGCCTATTGTCCTCTGGGCAGACCAAATCCCGCGGAGAAGACCCCGAACTATATCTATGATGCCAAGGTGCAGGCCATTGGAGACAAGTACAAGAAGTCCACGGCACAAGTGGTGCTACGATATCTGGTAGGGATTAGGATTGAGATTTTTTGTAGAATATTATTAATAATACTTATTCACACAGATTGAGATTGGAACCATCCCATTGCCCAAGTCATCCAATCCCAAGCGCATCGAGGAGAACTTCAAGATCTTCGACTTTAAGCTGGATGCCGAGGATCATGCCGTTTTGGACTCGTATCACACTGGCGAGCGCCTAATCCCCATGACCCATGCCATTAAGAGCAAGAACTACCCATTCAACATCGAGTTTTGAGCTGAAATGGGAGAGAAATATTTGATATTATAGTTCTGATATTTTGAAAAAATGCCTTTATAACGTTTTTACTTTAACTTGTTGAATAAAGAAAGGTTTGATACCTATTTTATTATATTCGTTGACTTTTTAAGTACGGGAAAGTAATTTTGAACATTTTTTTGATCTGATTGGTAGTTTTTTACCACCCCATGTTTATTGCTATAAACACTCCGATTGTTTAGCCTTATCACATCAATAATAAATACTTAAGCTACATAAATACGATGTTTAGCTGTGTATAGCCCATAAAAACTAATAGGTTCTACAAAAATCATATAAAATTAAACAAATTATGTGTTTTTTTGTATAAATAATTATTTAATAAACATGTTCCCCCTTTTATTTACCTCTCCTGATCTTTTACTATTTTGAGAGAGATAACAATACAAAGAGAGGGAGCTTTTGCTTGCCCAACTAGTTGTTAGAGGAGAATTCGCATGGAAAATTCCATTTAATCAAGATCACATAGACTAATGTAAATCCGCCTGCAGTTGTTTGAATTCAATTATTTAAAATAGCAAACAATTTGCAATAATGTCCAGCAATAACAAAATACAAACAATAATAACCAAGCCCACATGCGATAAGTTTACAAATAAACAACTAAATTAATAAACTTTTCGCGCCAACTAACTATCGATAAATGAGATTTAAATGTGTTCCCACCCTTATAGTATGGGTATTTCCACAGCTTAAATTGCAAAGCTTTTAAAAATCAATAAAACTACTGTTTTTGGTGATTTTACGATTGTCTTATGTTTATTAAAAATGGGTTTAAAAATATTCCTCTCATTCTTTTAATATCTAAATAATCTCTAAATATTTTTTTACTATATAACATTATTTTATATAGTTTTTACGAGGACAATATCTTTGTAATCACAGAGAAAGGAATAAAGGAAATGAGGTAGAAAAATAGTTTTAAAGTTTTATGGCAGTCTCTTGAGATATTCCCGCCAAATCTCAGTAGGCTTTTGAAAGTTCTCCTCGCCCGTTAAAAGACAACTGAATCGAGGAGCTCGGACATTCAGCGTTGAACCGTGTAACAGTGAAGATGACCGGAAAAATAGAGTACTTGAAGCACAACGACGGCACTCAGATTCAGCCAATTGGACTGGGCACCTTTGCGGTGAGTCTATGAGTGGGAGATCACGTCTCCGATATTGCTGGGGAATGTCGCACTTATTACTTATCAGTAGTAAACCATAGAAAGGTTTAACGTCATTTACGAACCTTTAACGTTATTGATGACTTGTTAATTTCCCAGTCGGTGGAAGGCGATTGCGAACGGGCCGTTCTCCATGCGATTGATGTGGGCTACCGGCACATAGACACCGCCTACTTCTACGGCAATGAGGGCGAAGTGGGTGCGGCGGTCAGGAAGAAGATAGCAGAGGGTGTTATCAGGCGGGAGGACATATTCATCACCACCAAGGTCAGTGGGTTACTTCCGAATGCGGATTGTAAACTAATCTTTAACCCATTTCCTATAGCTTTGGTGCCACTTCCATGAACCCGAGAGGGTGGAACACGCCTGTCGCAAAACCCTGGAGAACATCGGTCTGGAGTATGTGGATCTCTACCTGATGCACTGGCCCTTCTCCTACAAATATCGTGGGGACAACGAATTGATTCCCAAAGATGCCAACGGAGAGGTGGAACTTGTGTGAGTTAATTAAAAATCTGTAATTGATCGACTAACTTACAAGTGATTGCGAAATACGACTTTATCGTTTGACGTTAGTTCTTCTCTTATCTTTAATCTATCCATTCAAAAGTCTCAATTTATAGGGCATAAATAGCAAACTTTGATTAGAAAGTGTAAATCATTTTATTGGAGTGCAGTTTTTGGGCCAAAATAAAGTAAAATTATAAAACGCGAATTCTTTAGGAATAAATCGAATAATAAAAATAAATATTATAATTAATCTTATAAATCTAATAAATTTTATAAATCTATAAAATAAATATTAAATCTGATAATACTAATAAATCTAATAAATCTTTTTCCAGTGATATTGATTACTTGGACACCTGGCGTGCCATGGAAAAGTTGATTGATATGGGCCTGACTAGAAGCATTGGAGTATCCAATTTCAATTCGGAGCAATTAAGCCGCCTGCTGGCCAACTGCAAGATCAAGCCCATCCACAATCAGGTGTGTGAATTACAGGGTTTTTCCCCTCAAGTTATTAGTTAATAATACCCATTCTTCCAGATCGAAGTCCATCCGGCATTGGATCAAAAAAATCTGATTAGCCTGTGCAAAAAGAACGACATTGTGGTGACCGCCTTTTGCCCTCTGGGCCGTGCTAACGTGGAGAAACAGACACCGGCTTTTATGTTCGACGGCAAGGTGCAAACTATCGGAAACAAATACAACAAGACCATTGCCCAAGTGCTGATCCGATATCTGGTAGGGTTTTTAATTTGTAATATTTTTTTTAAGTTTATAATCACAATTCAATTTAAAGATTGAGCTGGGAACTATTCCGCTGCCCAAGTCATCCAATCCCAAGCGCATCGAGGAGAATTTCAATGTCTTCGATTTCCAGTTGGATGCTGAGGATCATGCCCTTTTGGATTCGTATCACAATGGAGAACGGGTTGCTCATGCTCGTCAGGCCATGAAGAGCAAGTACTATCCCTTCCACAAGACAACGTTGAACGTTTACAGTGCTTGTTTTTAATGATCTATAAAATGTAGAAACTTTTTTCTTTATTAAAAAATATTTAATCCTAAACAGTGTAGTTTGTAAACTTTGTTTATATCAAGAAACGGGCTGGCAATTTCGGTCGTTATTTTGCTGAGTATTTTAAGTGTTTTGTGTATGCCTCTTTTTGTCTTATCTCCATAAGTACTTTCTATTGGTATTGAAGAAGGTTATCAATCAATTAACAAGGCAGTCTAGATACTTTTATAAACTATTATTATACCTATTAGCCTTAGGTTCAACTCGGAAATAGTGTCTTAAATGCTTACGTTCTAAGACCAAATCTAGCTAGAGATTAACCAGAGATGATACTTTTTCAATCAGAACATTTTCCTCGAATTAATATTCTTAAAACAATGTTAAAATAAAATGATTTTGAAATATTTTATTTTAAATTTAAAATTTGAAAAACAGTTTTTTTTTAATTTTTGAATTTGTTTGAAAATTTAAAGTAGTAGTTCTTGTTTTTTCTAATTATATGCTAGAAAACAAATATCTTATTAAAAAAATATATTAAACATTACATTTAATTTAATATATTAAATATTTTTTATTGGATTGGATATGTAATGCAATGTAATGTTTAATATATTGTTTAATCATATGGTTATGGTTAGATTTGTTGATTCTTTGGTATTCTGTGGTATTTTGTAACGGTTCATTCGGTGTATTTTACACATTTCAGTATATTTCCCGTTACTCAAATATCGATAAGTATTTATTTTTAAAAATATTTGATTGAATATATTTTTCTCATCCCAAATAACAATCCTTGTAAGTCGCCGGGATTTTTGTTGTAAAATCCGGGTAAACAAGATGCCAGCAGTACGTGGCCACCAACGCAGCGAAGATAACAGACAACGGCAGGAGCAGGAGGAGGAGTAAGTGCATCCCGGCAGACCAAACCACATCGAAATCCGTCCAATCTGTGCAAATCAGAGAGCTTCGCCAGCCGGAAAAAAAGTAGAACAGACCAAGCAGTTAACCAAGAAATCGATGCCCCACTGCCACACAATGGTCTATATGCGAATTGTGCTGACAACCTTGGTGACCATTACGTGTCTGCTGGGGGATAACTTTGTGGAACTGACCCAGCATCCGCTGCTGAAGGCCCTCGCGGATAATGCCACCCATGCGGCCATAGGAGCCCTCACCGGGATTACTTTTGCCACCCAGTTTTATGAGCGCACCTCGCAGTTGTTCGGCTGGATATTGATTTTCACCTGCTTCGTTGTGTCATCGTTCATTGACTTGGACCACTTTGTGGAGGCGCGTTCGCTGTACTTGGAGGTGGGTTCTGAGTTTTAAGTGATATAACTTACTAATTGGTATCTTTAAACCTTATCCTAGGACGCCACCAACCTCTCGAAGCGACCCTTCCTTCACTGTTCCAGTATTATAGTAGTACTACTGCTGTTCTACATCTGCACCGCTTGTTTAAACTACTTCCGGACCAGCTTGATGCTGGGTTCTTTACTTTGTGCCTTCATCACCCATCACACGAGGGATGCCGTGAGGCGGGGCTACTGGTTGTGCCCACTGGGACACACGGATAGGATGCCCCAGGTGGCCTACATACTGACCACCATCCTAACGCCCCATCTTCTAGGCTGCCTTCACAATATTTGCCGCAGTGCCACAGTTCTGAACTTCCTGGGTCAATACATCAAGCTGAGCGAGGGTCAATATCGCAGTAGTTCCACTAACAACTATCGCTATATGCAGGTCTAGGCTATAGAATATCTTGCAAACTTTGTGATAAATACTGCGTAACATCATCAAATGGTAAATGCAAAATGCTTTTCAAGCTTCAAGCGCTTTAAGATTAGTCAACAGATCAGCTAGAAACCAAAATACTTCCACACACAAAAAACAGGACACAATTTTACTACTAGGAGTACCTTTTTTTTGTAAGGGAACTATGCTTCCCATTTGATTTTTCTCTGTTAAGTAGCGTGTAGGTTTTTATCTAGCATCTAAATATATAGTACAGATAATATCCGGATATTTGTGATATGTAGTCCTTAGACAAACTAGAAATTAGAGTAACGAGCATAGCGCACAATGATATGTAATCGATTTTCAACTTCAACCTTGACTCTACGAATTTTAAGCTAATCGAAAGAAGAATAAACTCAATGTAATTGCCTTAAAAAAATAGAAACACCTTGTGTTACTTGTAATCACGATTAATCCCATTGATTTACTTGCGGCCCACCTCATTTCGATTCGCTGTTTATTTGTGGGCCAAATTAGTTGCCATTTACAAATCGACCCTAATGGCTGGGCATTTGCTGCGAAGGAATCCCGTCATAAATCGCACTTTTCCGTTTATTTAGCCAAATCGGTCGGTCGGGGCTATTTTTAAACGAATTTAATTTTAAATGTTCGCCATTATAAATAAATCACATTTCGATTGAAAAAAGTTAGCAAAGCGATATAAAAAACTTTGGCTTTTCGAAATTTTCCTACGCTTTTCGGCGGAAAATTGCCGTGTTTGCGGGTCAATAATTGGGTAATTAAACTTCCACGTGCGATGGAACAAAGAAAAAATATTCTAGGGTATTGCGGGTCCCAGAATTTCCCACGCATGCCCATTAACAGCGGCACTAACAACAATAACAGCGACTGATGCTGTTGGCAACACCCACGATACAACATTTGTTTGACATACACTGAGAAATAAATCTGGCGTAGACTATAGTTTGAAATTTGTAGCTCTACCTGACCTTTATGAATTTTCAAATGGTGAATGGCTACTAGAAAAAGTGTCTTACAACTTTAAGGGAGAGTTTTTGGCTTGTTAAATTTATGAACATTTGTTTTGTTATTAATTTTAAACAACCTTCATCATTAACATTTCCTAGCTTACGATATCGTTTTGATTAAATAATAATTTAGAAACAAACAATGTGACAAAATATGAAATGAATACCATAATTTGATATTTACTAATTAAAACATTTTAAAATAAATGTACTTAGAAAAAGGACTAGTTAGCTAAAAGCTTTTTTTGGTTATATGATCTTTAAATAATTTTTAGGTGAGGAAATCGTTGCTAGAAATGGCTTATATATTTTCTGTGATATATGGTTTATAAAGTCCTCTTTATTTCTCCCTGTGTACACAAATGATGATCGTTTTGGGCTTGGTCGCGTCTCGTTAGTGGACACATATTTATGTCTGATCAGATCGCTGCAGAGAACCCAGTACAAAAAGTGTCGGCGCGGCGGCCACAGCATTAAATTCTAAAAAAAGAGTCAAGAGGTCGCGTGTCCAAATCTTTCGGGATTCAAATCCATATCGAGTGTGTGTGTGTTTTTCTGAATTGGCCAAGATTGCGGACCAAGAGGATATCAGTGAAAATCCGCTCGCCGTAAGTGCGCTGGATTTATAGATTCTTCGATTTTGTAGATTTTGCTAACCGATTGGCTTTAGTTTTTTTTTGGTTTGCTTTTAGAATTTACAATTTCCAATTGCATAGTTGGAGTTCCGCTTTTTTGTTTGCCCCTCGACCTTGGGCACTTTTCACGCTTCGTTTGGCAGCCAGCCGTATATTTGTCTATCGATGATATCACGGCTGGGTCATTAAGACCCCGGCCAAGTGCGACATTTCTGTTTGCCTTTCGCCGATAACTAACTTAGGTTCCTAAGTTGCTAAACGCCGTTCCCAGAGTCATTAACACCCCGTTAAAATCCAGCGTAAATCACGGGATTCGCCACTGTTGTACTGGGCCACAAACCGCCAAGTTTCATAATATTTATCTGGCACGATCATAACATGCATACACAATGTACTACAAACATGTATATTATATCTATATATGTACCTATATATGGTTTAAAAATAAACATTGTAAATATTTACATTGGAAATCTATAAAGAGCAACAAGCTGATTTCTCCCCATAATTCTCTTGCTCGTTTGTTCGCACAGTTTTGGTCAAAAGGTTTATTACCTTTTTTTTCAAGTTTTATTTTAGAAAAATTAACAATAATAATGTTCAAAAAAGAAATATCTTATAAAAGATCTGTGACTGCCGGCTTTCATGTTTATGAACTGATAATGAGCTCGTAAACAGTCCAATTCCGGTTGCCGCTGCTTAGAAGCCATCCGAACTGAACCGATCTTGATGATGGAATGGGGCTCTCGATCTGTGAATGCTCTTGCAGCACAGCAAGTTCCTTCACATAGAGTCATTCCCTGATAATGCCAACGATCGATAACGAGTTCAGTAACAGCTCTCAAACAGTTGTGCAATTTTTAAAAATATTAAAAACGATCAAAATGGGAGTCTACAGTCCGAGTTACATAAATTAAACACATAAACGAAATTACAACATTTTAAATAATTAATTTACATAAAAATAGTTCTGAAAAGTATTTGTAAATATATATTAAGATTTGTTTAAAATTCTATTAAATATATCATATTTAAAAAAGACTCATTAAAATGCGTTATAATCACACACTTTTTATTGAAATAATGGAAGCTCGACTGTAATTAAACTTTATGATTATTGTATGTTTGAGCAGCTGAGCAAAAAGTGAGCTTCCAAGTTGCTTGTTGTCTCAACTCCCCTGAAATTTTTATGACCCCAGGGCGTATGAGCAATGTGTCATTTTTGGACGCCTCACCTGAACAATCTGAACGGTCCACGACAGCTGCCTAATTAAAATTATCGAAGATTCCGCTGCTTCTAGCGGCGTCTGCCAAAAAGTTTTGAGTGCGACCAACGGGGCGGATGGACGATCGGTATTATAAATAGCTCATATGCAGAGTGGCCACACGAACGCACAATTGCAATTGCATAGGCACTTCTTTCTGTCATCTCGCGTGCAACCGGGTTGAATGACTCGAGATTTGAGCATGCGACTAAATATAACACTTGCAATTTGCCCAGCACTTTATATAATGCCCTTTAAGCTAAAACAAAGGGTTCTTAAACTTTGAGACCTTAGCACATTAATAGATTGATAAACAAATAAGGGGGAAACGTGTTTGGCCAAGTGTTTTATTTTATTTTATTATTATTTATATTTTTCTTTGGTTCTGATGGCACAGTTCTTTCTTTAGAAAAACATATACAGACATCGAAAATCCGCCTCGTCACAAGATCTAAGTTTTGTGCCGGCTGTTGGTCTTTGACAAAGAGCGAACGAGCAGCGAAATCGATGAAAATAAATCAAAAAGTAAAAATTAACAAAATGGCAATCCCAGAACGGGGCGAGATTTCGAAAATTTTGGTTTAAAAACAACTGGCAAGAGAGAGAAACCCGCTCTCCACTTCTCTCACTTGGCTTTCGATTTTTTTTTGGCAGCTTTTCGAGCGCGTTGAAGCGCCGTAAAATGCTCAATATTGTTTGGGATTCCGTGGCGAGACGATCGTCGAAAAAGTCGCGCGGGCTGCTGAAATAAATTCAAGCAAATCACAAAGAAATATATTATTAGGCAAAGAAAAAAACAACATTAATAATGCCCCTTAAAAAAAATAAGATTTAAATACACAGAACAAACAGGAATAAAATACAAAGTAAATACATTTAATTGGTGATTAATTATATTGTGCACAGTGACAAGAGTGCCAACACATTTAATACACACACTGAAAGTGCCAGTAAATAAAGCTGAAACTAGGCCAACATTTAAAGCAAAATATTACTCATACGCCACCGGCACTCATTCATTCCCCCATCTCGGTTATCAGTTCTTTAAGTTAAATGAGCCCCATGAGTGGACTGCGTCAACAGCTGAAGGTGAGTACCGTACCTCGCGCCTTATAGAACCCTAATCCCTGACGATCTTGAGTCTGCTAACTCAAAACCTGCTCGCATTTGCATAAATATTTACCTAATCGCTTTTCAATGGTGGCAACAACTTTCGTTCGCCGTCTGGCAGAAAGGCACTAAAGCTGCCTCCGTTGTATACACAATTTGTTTTTATTTCTTTTATGATGAGCAAATATTAAATCGCTCTCTCATGAGCCGGCTATAAATAATTTTAATAACAATATTGGTACTATATTGCCGCACAATTCGCTTGTCGGGGTCGCCAAGAAATATGTAAATTAGCAGATCGTATTTGTTAATTTCACCATGTCTCGTCAAATATTTAGGGTAACCAAGTTACACCATCTTCAATGCAAATATTTAACTCGGTTTATTTTCGGAATAAAGTTGCGTTTAATGTTAAAGAGCTGATAAGTTCAACACATAAGATGAAATTACGATATTTACTTGTTTAAGAGATTATTGGATTTCATTAACCCTTTTATTAGGTCACGCCAAATTTATTTCTTCTCCGTACAAACATAATTCCTTGGAATAATTAAATATAATTTTGTATTATAAAAAAATTGTGGTAAAATTAAATCATAAACTGAACTTCCTGGTTTCTGCTATATTTTTCTACAAAAAAAACCATTAACTGTCTACAAACTTGCACGAATTGCGTGAAACCATCTGCTATATTTTATCCAGATCTAAGTAGACAAAATAAAGTCGAAAGGCGTGTGTCGGCGGGACTCTCATAAAGTTGTTCCACAACATTGCATTCTGTTTTTCTCAAGTCATAAACTGCGTCGCTGTCGCAGCCTCATAACTTTGTAGCCAAAACACATCATTAAAAAGTACAGACGAGCATCCATAAAAGGCATATAGATATTATTATAGACATGTGCATGTTCCTCTGGAAATTAGCTGTTAGAGGGAGGGCATCATAATGGTTTCCTAATGTGCCCGTCCAAGATTTTTGGCATACAAAATGCGCTCCAGTGCTTTCCTAGGCATTAAAAAGTCGATTGTTTATCGACATAGACACGCATATATACTTGGCCAATATAAACAATGGCGATTATTAACTTTTTCCCTACCTTTTCTTTCGATGTGTATATTTTGAATATGATGCTAGCACACTATACAAATTTTATATTTGTGGTCCAAAGTTTGATACTTGTTTATCAGTTCATTCCCAATTGACGACACAACAGTATTTCGTCTGGATTTATACAAACAAGCCGCAGATTTATGATTTTGGCAAGGCTTTGCGGCACATAAAAATTTTTTTCTTGGTGAATTCGTGAAAAAGTGTCAAAGAAAAATGCCATTAAATGAGCATCTAAACGCCGTTCTCTACAAATTTATTAATTTGTTTACATTTTATGCGTCTTGGCACGTGAGCAATGCCATAATCTGCATTTATTTTCGTTGTTAAAGGCAATAAAAGAAACAAGTTGACTAAGGTAACTAACCTGGGACAAGGTTTTACATAGTTGCCGTTCGGGCCATGTGAACATCGGAGGCATAATAATAACCAATTAGGTGGCACTTTGAATTTTAAGTAGGATTACAAGACAAAATCAAAACCGATAAAGACGTAGAAAGAAATAAACCTTCACATATTTATTTATGTAATTAAATAATTATTATAACTTTCATCAATTGCTTTAATTTAATGATTTTGCGCATATAATTAATTTTATAATAAACTTACTTTAGTGAATAAAAATCAAATTAAAACCCAAAAGGTCGCTCGCAGTTAATAAGCACCACAAGATTTAATTAAAAAGTTAATCAAGTTTTTCCCTATTGAATTAAAAGAATTGTTTGCGAAAATTGAAATATTCGATCGTTTGAGATGTATAAGTATAAACACTTTCACCATTTTCGGTTGGTTCATTTTCGCAATTAATCAAAAATAGTTGAAATACTTGCCATTCAGTACGTAATTGAGAAATAAATTGGGAAATAAATAAATAGGAGGCACGAACATTTTGGCCAGCCCCCTGCCAAGTTCTCTCATATTTGGCCTAATCGGGGGGTTGATGTTTTACGTATTGGTCTTAAAGAGCCAACTAATTGCATTTGCACTTCTTTTTTTTGGCTCGGCCAAGATGTTCGGAATTCCTCGAATGAAAATAGATGGGGAAAACAACAAATACGAGTGGTTGCTAAAATAACCAAAGAACAACGTAATAAACAAGAGTGTCAAAAATAAAAAGACCAACAGACGAAATGTAAAAATATCTGTTTAACCCACCCCCAAAAATACCTTTTTGATTTTCCCCCGCCGCTCAAGAGTATGCTACAGTTTCTTTTCCACTTTGACTAATATATTTTTCCGTGGCTCCTTGACTTTTATTTAGTATACTTCATGTTTTATTTGTTTTATTGTTTTTTACAGATGCTGGGAACAGCTTTGCTGGGCAAACGAGCCACCAAGGTAAACACAAAAAAAAATGATGACTTTCGATCTGTTTATTTTGACTGGTCTTTATTTATTTGATTTTCACTTTCGTTTTGTTTTTTTTTTGCCTTTTCATTTCACAGTCTGTCAAAAAGAAACCATTTACTGAGGTGGAAATCAAAGGTAAGTAACCAAATCAAACCGCAAATCAACAGACCAGTTGTTTATTTACAAACAAGACGAGAACAGTGACCTCTGTTCTTCTGGGAAAAAATCCACAAAAAATATGGGTTAATATACGAAGCGATGGTGTTGAGCTATCTAGTATTTGATTATTCATAATTAAAGCAAATTTATGGGCAAAGATAAATAGCAAGCTAGGTTATTTCTCGGCCAGGCCCACACTGCGTATACCCAATCTCTTTTAGCACTATCACAGTGTAAAAAAGTTTTTGTTGTGCACATAGAAAAATAATTAAGTTTCTTGTTATTTAAAATTAACCCATTTTTATTTAATTTCATTTCAATTGGAAAACATTTTTATTTAATTAAAAAATTTTAAAATTAATTTCAAAATGTTTTGAAAAATGTCCTAAGTTTTTTAAGCAAACAATTTACGGAATCTATTGATATAAATAAAGATCCATTTTTAATCATTACATAATACGATTTTTTCTGTGAATTTTCATATAATTGCCCTAAAGGGCATATAAATAGTAAGCCATAAAGAAATTATAATTACAGATCTATGTTAAATCAAGACTAGAAATTAGTTTTCTATTTTTGTGAATGTAAATTTAGCCAGACAAAATGACTGACCGCCTTTTGCATGTCGGGTAATTTATGTTTGCAACACTCCCACTAATTTTAGCCTTTCGCAGAACAGGTGCATTGGTACCTAAAAAGATGGATGGATCCCCGTGCTTCCACACAATTTTAATGCTATTTTTATATCTTGAAATTTTGTACGAGCAGCACTGCGGCTTTAATCTAATCAAGATAGCCATAATCGAGTTGAAATTTAATTAACGCGCCTCCTTCTTTTTTTTCCGCCCGATAATAGAGTAAAAAAAGTAGGAGCGAAATGTAGAGGGGGTATAGAGGGCAGCAGATAGCTGACACCCTCGCATCACGTGCCCAATTAACGGGCAAATAAAGACTTCAATAAAAAGAGGAAAAAATAAAAGTGGAGCAAAAACAAAAAAATACCTGCTGTACAAGATTTTGTTCGAAATTTAACTTGGCCCCTGGGATTTACCACAGAAGTGTTTACCATCGAAAGACGAATCAGATAAGAGATGCTGATCCCACACTTTCCATGAAACCCATGTGACACATTTCACCGGCTGACAAGCCAAACAAGACATATTTAAATCGGCGCCAGGCACTTTCATTTGACATTCAGCCCTCAGCTGTTGATCTCCAGCAAATATTTGGCCTTAAAGTGGAAAAAGCAGCGGGAAATAATATCATATATCATATGAGTCATTTATGAGTAAGGTGGGTCTTATTGTTGCCAAATTACGGGTAATTTGCAGCCATTAATGGTTAGGATAGTCATTTATCGCCCCTTTAACAACTATTAGTTATTAGATAAATCAAAATGTATTCAAAAATAGGCCTCTAAAATGTATTACTTTGCACTTTGAAGAATCTTTAAGAATATTATTTGAAATAGTATGCTTTAAACTTTCTTTAGAAAAATTAAAAAAAAAATAGTAAAATAGTTATATAGATAATAAATATCAATTTATATTTAAATATATTTTTAGAAGTGGATCTCTTAAAAATCCTCATAACACATTTTGATTTATTTCTATAAAATAATATTTAAAATGAATTTTTTAAAAAGCCTTAAAAAAAATTATCAATATAATAATCTAACTTTTATGTGTAAATATTTTCCTCAGTGCACTCCCATTTCAAAATAAACAACATTAGAATTGACACTATTTGAAGTTATAGAACTACTAGTATTACCCCAATATCGGCCAACAATCAAGACGACCCATTCACAGGTACTTTTTGGGCTAAGGCCCCACTCGGGGTTTCTGTGATTGTCTCCTCACTCTTGGTAATCAGACAACTGAAATCAAGATAAGGCCAATACGAGAAGAAGAATACGAGTGAGAGTAAATACCATTACGACATATAGACACTAGCACTTAATGAAATCGGACAACGACAAACCCATCCCAGATATATATATACTATATAAACCCAGTTAAAGTATAGCACCCACCCACAGATTCGGGCGCTGCCATCCGGCTGATAAGTCAGTTAGTTATCTGCGGGGAGCGGCGGTTGCTATCACCCCAAATGAAATATAATACAATATAGTATGGCAAAAGTCGGCTGAGTTCTGGTTAGTTCGTTTCCCATTATCTTGGGAGTTTTCGTAGATAAATCGCTCGGTAACATTCTGCTGGCATTCCTGCAGCATTATTATTTTTCGCGCCCTCGCAGAGTATCGCCAGCTTATGTAGCGGTCGGAAGTGCCCCATTCGAGTGTCTCTCCCCAGCCGTGATTGATGATTGATTGATTGATTAACTGATTCACTGATTAACTGATCGATTGCCCGCTTGATAGTGCCGCGTTTGTGCCTTCCAGACTTCGTCAAAAAATCGAACCAGTTTCACCTGGCAAATTAGCGTCTTTTCGCTTCGAAAATATGAGCAAAGATGATAAGTGTGAGTATAAGTTAGTGGTTGGCCGAAAGCGAACTTTAGCCAATTGCTATCGTTATCGGTGGTAGTACGAGTATGAGTTCGAATACGAGTACCAGTAATCGCGGCTAGTCGAATATTACTAATTTGCAAACACCAATCAACTTGCGGAGACACACGGCACTGTCGATTTGTCACCACACTTGTAAAACTAATTAAACGTTTGTCAGCAGCCACGTATGGCCTAAAGCACAGAAAAAAATATATTAGGATAAAAATAAAATTAACAAATTAAAAATGAGTAAATGATTAAAGTCCATATTAAAGTGTAAAATGTTTAAAACAAAAATCTTCATTAGAAAAAAAGTGTTTATAAAAACGGTATCTTTTATAAGAGTTTAAATATAAAATATGGCTTAAAAAAATAATACTTTAAAAAAATATTTCAGAACTAACAAATTAATTTAAAAAAGAAAATGCTTAACCACTAACAAAATATATTAAAAAATTAATTATTTTAAAAACAAATTATGAATTTTTAAAGAAAATGAAAACTTTTTTTGTGTGGATCTTGGGATTTTTATTTTGATTTTCAATTAACTAGCCATAGTATTATTTCAGTGAGTCAAAATCTGCCAAGTGGGCCACCCCTGTTCCGAAGGTCCGATTTTCATCGATCTTTTTTACTTTTCCGGTTCACAACGAAAATATAAGAACTTCATTTGAACGGTTTTGCGAAATTTTGAGTTTTACCGGAGTTATAGGGGTCAAAACATGGCATTTTTGACACTTTTTCGAAAAAGTTGCACTCAGTCAAAAATTCATAACTTCGGAACGGTAAGAGATATCTTTATGATGTTTTCACTAATCGCTCAAGAATTATTATGGCTTTCCATAAAAAAATTTAAAAAAAATTAAAAATTTTTTTTCTTAAAAATAAATCAACATTTTTTTTTAGTTTTTATTTTTTTCAGTGTTCTTCACCAGCTATAGAGTTTAAAACCATTTGAAAATGAAGTTTGATTCATTACGAAAAAGATAAAAAAAAAAAAAGAGGGGCCCGGACAAAGGTTTTTCGCAATATCGATTTGAAGAAGGGCGCACAGCGGATTCCCATACAAAACGACAAGAAGTGCCTCATTGACAGCTGCAGTCGGCTGACGCTACGCGCGCAACGGCATGTGTTGACCAGCCAATTTTCACGAGCAAGCCGTTTTTGTATGGAAAACCGCTGTGCGCCCTTCTTCAAATCGATATTGCGAAAAACCTTTGTCCGGGCCCCTCTTTTTTTTTTTTTTATCTTTTTCGTAATGAATCAAACTTCATTTTCAAATGGTTTTAAACTCTATAGCTGGTGAAGAACACTGAAAAAAATAAAAACTAAAAAAAATGTTGATTTATTTTTAAGAAAAAAAATTTTTAATTTTTTTTAAATTTTTTTATGGAAAGCCATAATAATTCTTGAGCGATTAGTGAAAACATCATAAAGATATCTCTTACCGTTCCGAAGTTATGAATTTTTGACTGAGTGCAACTTTTTCGAAAAAGTGTCAAAAATGCCATGTTTTGACCCCTATAACTCCGGTAAAACTCAAAATTTCGCAAAACCGTTCAAATGAAGTTCTTATATTTTCGTTGTGAACCGGAAAAGTAAAAAAGATCGATGAAAATCGGACCTTCGGAACAGGGGTGGCCCACTTGGCAGATTTTGACTCAGTGTTAGACTATTTAGTTATATTTTTCTCTAAGTGTCTCTCCCAGTCCCTTTATATATCTCTCTGTTATCGCTCGCAAAAATTATCTCACTGTGTGTTTGTGTATTTGGCAAGTGGGCGGTTGGTTGGCAGTTAATTTGTTGCCACTTTGCCGCTGATGAAACCTGACAGTCAAAGGCAGGCGTAATATTTTCTGCGAGTTTTTATTTATTTGTATTTTTTTTCTTGTTCTTTTTTGTTTTGGGACACGATTGCACTTTGATTTATGGTTACGCAACGTTGGCAGTTTTTTAGGCTTCGTCCACAGAATTCTCGGCTTGCTACTCGACTTGAGTTATGAGTAGCAAGACAATTAGCCAAAAACGAAGAAAAATGGCAAAGAAGTGAAAAATGAGCGAGTTTGTTGACTGCAAAATTTTAATTTTACTTCAAAAGTGATTTATTTGGAAATTTGTTTAAAAGTGGCCTTTTTAAATAAGTGCAATTGTTAAGAAATTTTACAAGTGTTTAACCATAAAATGTATTCATTTGGGATTTAAAGCACTCGAATGTGCATTGTCAAGTAATTTTCACATTCATGTACTGTAAAATTTCAAATGAGTGCTTAAAAAAATGGAAATAGAGGAATACAAAGCGCTAATTCGGTCACGTAAATGGATTCAATAACAAAGCGAGATGAAAAATGGTTTTTCGTAGTCTGCTTCTGTGCGTGCCTGTGCCTCTGCCCTTGACCCTCCACCACCTCTTTTTTTGCACCCCTCTCAACCCCTTTTTTAACACCCCCTTGGAAGCTCTTTTAGG